ATTATTGTGTGGTAAGTTGTTATTAACTTGCCTTTACGCAGGTGCTTAGATACTTTGATTGCATCTGTGCCCACGAACTGGTGTCCAGTGTATTATCAAAGTTCATAGTTGAGAATTGAGAATGGTTGAGATGAGATTGTTTGTGTTATTTATGAATTTTAAGACCAATTTGTGGAGAGTACGGTGTGAAATGATCTTTTCCATGACAGCATTCACAAGACGATTATAAAATTAGTAGGGTTTTTTTTAAGGAGTAAGTACGGATTTGTTAGCGTATTTTGTTTTTGTAATTATGTGATGAATTTTGCCGATGCTCTTAAGTCTTAACTCTCGAGCCTCGTGTTCATAAAACATTATTTATGTCGCTTCTTAATGTCAAAAATTTTTTCGAAAATTTTTTGTTTCTTTAAAAACGAAATTATCCGCAAGAAATCCAGTAACATTTGCACAAGAGAAAAAGATATTTTATTCTTGAATTTAAAATTCAAATATGGCGGTAAAATATTGCTCCAGGTGTTTTGAGTTCAACGGATATTATAATTTAACCTTGTATATATGTTTAAGTATGTATAAATACTTTATTTCAAGAGGGTAATAGCCAACAGTCAAATAGACTGATAAACTACTGGCTCTCTTATACTATATGTACAAATGTATATCAAAATTCTAAAATTATACTATAGTATATAATTAAAAAATGATCATGCACTCAACTTTAAAACATCTATATACTTTTTGTTTAGTTAGCATGAATTTGACGTCAAGTACGTTAATTTTTGGCAGTCTGTGTGACGTGTATTTATTTGATCATGGAGCATTTTGTTTATTAAGACGCGTGCCAAAGACACCATCGTTTTTCTATATGCATATACTCGTACTTAAGCGTATTGTAATCTGGGCTAGAATTTGTGATAAGCAAAAACGTGTCGTTAGAGTGATATAGTAGCTATTATTGATACACTGAGTTCAGTTCCTTACAAAGTTTTTTGATTGTTTGAGTAAGTTTTCTTGAACCCCATTGACATAGACGAATAGCGAAAATGCAAAACATGAAAACCACTTAAACATGGGCAAACCACTTAAACATGGGCAAACCACTTAAACATGGGCAAACCACTGGTTTTGAGGATGTTGCTCTGATGCTGCTTGTATTTTCTGAAAATGTATTTTGGTTTTGCTCAAATAATAATGGTGTATAACATGATATACAGAGCAAAAAGCTCTCTAAAGGGAGACTTTATTATGTATAAATCTATAACCGTGTGTGTGTGTTCTGATGTGCATTTTGTCTGAAATACCTGTCAGTCTGTCGCTATTGTTTTGAACAGCTACGTGTTTCAAAAATTTCATATCTTTCACTTTGAATGTCATTAGTTAACGATGGGATCAAAGTTTCAGATTGAAGCTCTCTTTTCTTGTCTGTCAATGTTTTGGCTCAGATTAAAATCAATGATTTCTTCTGGTTAAGTGAAAATAGTTCTCGATCTTTTCCCCTAAAGTGGTTGGATTTGTGCACGTGTTGATTGTACTAATCTTCTTAGTGCAGTGACATCCTCCTGTTATACAAACATATTTCTTGTTGATTAAAGGAAATGTCTTGCCGTCTTCCCTAAATGATCAGAGATGATGGTTTGTGTGTGTCTGTGTGTCAGTGTATGTGGGGGGGAGGGGGGGAGTCCCGATTGTTAAGTGTGTCCATTAATTGTTTGATATATTAGTATTTTGCAGGGAAATTGACTTCCATCTTGTGTATCTAAGACTGTGGGAGGTGGTGCATACTTCTCTTCAACCCTGTCCTAAATCCATCCTTGCGTTTTGACGTATCATTAAATTCTTAATAAATGACTAATGATGTCTCAGCCTGGCAGTTCTATTTCATAATGTGGTCAGTCGTCTAGTTTTGATGTTTTTTATGTTACATTGCTATTCGTTATGGGCTTATGGCAATCGAAAATCACTTAAAATACATCATTTAACAACACCTAGTCAAGATAACAGTGTTAAAATAGCAACTTCTATCTTTCAATGCAACTTTGTGTTATCATTGTGATCACTAGTCTTTATCCCGAGTGGGCAATTGATAAGCTGATTGTTAAGCAAATTTATTTAAGTCAGTTTTCCATCCAAAATGAATTAAAATTTCACAACATAAAAAGATTGAATGTGGGGCTCAATTTGGACTGCGCGAATGACTTGGTTTATTAAATGTTATCAATTTAAAAAGTATAAAGTCTTATAAATGAAAGAGTTATGCTGTGAAAGACTGAAAGTTATCAACAAACTAAAAATGTCTAAACATATTTAAGGCTGGTTTAAATTAAGTCAAATAGGCCGAAGTTGTTTGAAACTTTGTACTATCCTTTGACATTATAGTTTATTCTACGGGTAGGACTCTTGTAAATAAAAGTAAAACTTTAAAAATAGAAAATCCCGTTTTCGTTCTATGTCTCCCTATACTCCGGTGTAATGTTTTACTCCAAAACTTTCATTTTAAGGATAATGAGAAATATTCCTTTTGCGCAACAGCGAATTATTGTATTCGAAGACCCATAAACCTTATAACTACTGCAAAGAAATTTTTATATCATATTTTATATTTTAAATGAAACCAAAGTTTAGTGGATTTAGAATATATAGCTCATAATGATAAAGTTGTTAGCTAGTTTGTTTTAAGTAAAAACAGGGGAAAATTGGAGTAAATGCATCAGTAAAATTTAATTATTCAACAGTTCCGATTTTAATATTAGCTACACTAAAAGCTATGTCAGAAATGAAAGATTTTTAATTATCATTACAAAGTGCGTTTATTATTTCGCGCAAATTTTTTTGTTATTAAGTGATATGCAGAAATGACAGGTGTTCTTTGACAACTTTTCTGAATCTGTTTATGATGTCGAGTTTATGTTTGTGTCGTTTTGTAAAATTGTTTTTGTTATTGGATATTGATAATATATTTTTTACCAAAATACTTTTGTCTATAGAACTATACATTAGGATTGATGAGAATTGTGTAAAATTGTTTTTGTTATTGGATATTGATAATATATCGTTTTGTTGTACATTGATAGTATTTTTTTACCAAAATACTTTTGTCTATAGAACTATACATTAGGATTGATGAGAATTGTGTAAATATGTGACTTGTAAAAGAATAAGACATTTTTATTTCTTTTATTGTTTAAACCTTTTGAAGACGTTTAAAAGCTCAAAGCTTCGTTCTTAAAGTTTAAAGCACAGTTTCTAATGATACAGGGGTATGGAGAATTGTCATAAATTTGTATTAAGTCATTACAGCATTAGATAACTGGAGCTCAACTCTTGACATCATTGCTACTGTTGCTGGTACTTCTTTCATGAGAGGGTGGAGAGGTGACAGTACTTCTCTTGCGGGAGGGTTGGTGGTGGTGCTTGTACTCTCTTGCGGGAAAAGGGTTGGTGGTGGTGTTTGTATTTCTCTTGGGGAGAGGTTGATGGTGGTGCTTGTACTTCTCCTCCGGGAGAGAGGTTGGTGGTGGTGCTTGTACTTCTCTTGCGGGAAAGAGGTTGATGGTGGTGCTTGTACTTCTCCTGCATTAGAGAGGTTGGTGGTGGTGCTTGTATTACTTCTGCGTTAGAGAGGTTGATGGTGGTGCTTGTACTTCTCCTGCAGGAGAGAGGTTGGTGGTGGTGCTTGTATTTCCCTTGCTGGAAAGGGGGTTGTATTGGTGGTACCAATACTTCTCTTACGTGAGAGGAGGGTGGTGGTGCTGCTGGTATTTCCCTTGCAGTAAAGGGGATAATGGTGGTACATGTACTTCTCTCGCGGGAGAGGGAAGCGGTGGTGCATGTTCTTCTCTCGCATGAAAGGTGGTGGTGGTGGTACCAGTACTTCTCTTGTGGGAGAGGTGGTTGTGATGCATGTACTTCTCTCGCAAGAAAGGTGGTGGTGGTAGTACCGGTACTTCTCTTGCGAGAGATGGTGGGAAGGTAGTTGAACCTCTTAACTCTCTGTATCGTGTGTTTCTTAAGTTTTTCTACTATAAATTTAGTATTTTTCAATACAACCATCCGTCTAGAGAAATTTTTTCGATAAAATTTATGTACGTAAATGTCAGTGAATAGCATAGAGTAAAACCGCATAAAATATTTTAATCTAGGTATTGCATTATTACCCTGTGGTAGCTATGTTTTTCTGTTGCATTCATTTTTTTAATCTCTCTTTTGTGTATTCATTTTTAAATTAGTACTTACCTTATATAAACTGATTTTCCTATTGGGTCAATTAGATAACAGTGACAAACTCTAATTATTGAGATTCGGCATTTCTATGGCATCTTTTACTTCAGTATACTTTGAACCAATCATAAACCTTGATTTTGTTGTTGCAGTCTTTAAATCGACCTGCAGTGTAAACCTTATTTTAAGTCACTCAACTTTAAATGCATTTTTAATTTTTTATATTTATTACAAAAATGGACATTGAGATGATGATGAAATGTAAAAGTATGTTTTATTTTCTATCCTATGTTACAACCTGAGGTTTTTACGATGTGTTCCATTATGAAACTTTGCATTCAAAGTGTTTTCTCTTTGTAAGCGGAAATGCTCGAATGACGTCATCGATGAAATTCCTATGCTCATTATTGAATATTGACAGCAATAAATAAAGGTCCTGTTGAACGTACGCTGTGCAAGATTACTACAATGCAAACTCTATGATTGCATAACTGATTTTCTAACTATAGACCTCTATAAAACTATAACTAATTTTCAGTGCATGTGTCGTCATACATAGCTAACTGTTCTCCCCGTCAATTGTCATTACGTCAACATATTCATCGCTGCTTTGTGAACTTTTTCTTTTTCTCTTGCTCGTCGATTTTGAAACCATATTTTGATTTTGTTTTCGGTAACGTCAGTTCCAAACACAAACTACGAACTTCATCACTTGTCAAGTACTTCATTGTTTCAAACTTGTTTTCCAGGGTCGTCAGCTGTTTGGGAGTGAATGGAACTCTGGGATTGCGACCGGGCTTTCGTTTCTGTTTCGGTCGACGTTTACTTGACTCTGAAACAGGACAAGACACAGCGTCGAGGCATGGGTTACATACAATAAAAAGAATGGGGGTGAGGGGGGGGTATATGGGGTGTACGTTTGTCAGCAGGTTGTGTGATTGGATTAAAACACATCCAATATACATGCATAAAATATAATTTAAACCGCAACAAATTGTGGCGATGTATTCATGTAGCCTAAACAAGAGCAAACATATAAATCACTTTTAGAAATATACGTTGACGAAAAAGGCTTGCAATACATATTTTAATATGTGGTGTTTTAACGAAAATTATTATCGTAGCTTCAAATATCAAGCATGACGTCAACAAAACTTTCATAAAAAGTTTAATTGAAAATTACAATGTCGTCATACCAGGCAATATTAACCAATAAAATAACTACGCATGTTATGGACTTTCACATTAATTTATCTGTCATAATTGAATCATACAATAAAAACGATATGCAGATTTGAAAGGAAAAAGAAAAAATTCTATGTCAACTAGAAAATACAATTATGCTTATAGAACTATGAAAGGTGACCGTAAGACAGAGTCTATACATGACAAAAATAATTCCGTTTTTCAAAGTCAAACATGTATACATGGGTTTGTTCGTCGTTGAATTTTAGATGGAAAAGCAAAAAGTAATAAAAAATAAGTTGAAGACAACAATCAAACAATCTTCGTTCATACACTGTACATTTTAGGTTTTAACATTCAAACATCTTTTTCCACTTGAATAGTCCAAACTGAACGACGCCTTTAAAATATTTATAAAACAAAGGAAAAAGTATTTTTAGTTCTACGATCCGTCATATCCATCACATGCATAGAGTTTTGACGCATCTCATGCGCAACTATATATGACTCTCTAATGTTTTAATTGCTCAGAGCATTTAAAAAACAGCTGATATTACAAGAAGTCAAAATGAACTTATATGTTACGTCATGAACTTGTCATAGAGAGTTCTAAGATTACATGAATGCTGGGAAGTCAATCTTCTCTTGAGCTGTTGTGTAAAGTATGAAAGGGTTGAAATATGGCTATGTTCTTTTCTTCATATTGTGTTTTTTTTCTTCCTACTGTGCATAACCAAAATGGTTGTGGTTGAATGGCGAATCTTTGGAGAATCCAATTGAACTGGAAAACAAAAAGGAAAAGCGTCAGCTGCGTGACCATATGAAAAAAAGAGGATGTCCTTATTCTAGCGTAACATGGTGTGGAAGAAGACGTTCAAAAATCTTTATGGACAATAAATAAATGTATTCATTACAGTGTATTGTTCATTGTTCGTTTATTATCAGCTTATTCTATCAAACACTAAAATTATACAAATATAATTGTATGAAAATATAATGTGTATGTGTGAATTTTAAGACTATGCTCATTTCTGCCTTCCTCTTTTGCTAGTGCAGATAAAATGCTACATATTGATAGATTGTTAAACATACTTTTCTTGCAAACTATAAAGTATTATTAAAAACGATTCTGCCTGAATTTCCAAATACATGCTGATTGCTGACCATGCTGTTTTATCAATGAAAAACGTTCTGCCATTTTAAAAGAAGTTAAGTCTGTAAGGGCAACTTGCTTTTTCTTGTGAAATTTTCGATGCAACAAAGCTGCGAAGTTTTACCTGTTACACAAAGCTTCTGCTCACGCTAAATTCAATGTAGAGAATTTCTTCGTAAAGATGTAAATAAGCAGCAAGGAGGACAACGTATTATTAGATACGATATTGTACTATGTTTTGATGTGGCTATCAAAATAGTTTGTTGAAGCCAAAATTGGCTACAAATCCAAACATTACACTAAAAATTACACAAAAGTATAACTACAAATTCCACTAAAGTTTATATTATTACCTATATTAAAAAAATAATCATTATATATATTTGTAATCAAGTTATATATGATCAATGCATATTAATCAATGCATATTATCTACAAAGCAATCGTTTCATCAGCAGAACGGAACGAGGTTGTCGATTGCTGTGCTGTATCAGTAGAAATAAAACTGTTCTTTTTAAACAACGCCTTCAGACTGTTTCGATAATCGGGAAGCCTCAGTGCATACACAATTGGATTTACAGCGAAATTCACCATGGCAACTGGTTCGTAGTAGTAAGAAAAACGCCAAGCCAATTCACTTTGTATTTTTCCAAGCCTTTGAATAAACTCCACTTGTTTGGCGACAAAATAAGGAAATGCAGTTACCATTAATAAGACATTCAGCAGAATGATTGCCTTTACAATTTCAAAGTGTTTAGTATTGTACTGTTTAGCATTTACTTTAGTGTCTTGTCGACTTTTCAATACAACCTTAAGTATGAAACACTTCAATATGATCTGAAGTAAAACAGCGATTTCCAAGACAGCATATACCGTGATATAGGTGTACATAAGCTGTTCATTTTTCTTGGTGTAAATTGATGTGAGTTCACCAAATGCTATGCAAATGGCAATCAACCAAACTGTGGCGCATAATATGTAAATTTTCTTCGTAGATAACATTTGTTGTCTGTATTTGGGATACTTTGCAATCATGTAAGTTTGCCATGTGAGTGAGGTCAAGTGAAAAAATGAGCCCGCAGCCCCAAACATCCAAAAGAAAAGGACAGAATAAATGACAGCTTCTGATGGTTTGACCTCGAACAATCCACCCAATCCAACAATCATGAATTGTGACAAAGATGCAGTAAAATCAGCTATGCATAAGCTTAAGATCGTAATCCACCTTCCTTGTTTTAGTATGTTAAGCGGATCTACAAGAATAAGAACAACAAGAAGACCATTTGTTAGGACACCAATTGTGGAGACCACCATCGTTGTTATTAATGTTTCATAGCCAAGTGAAAAACTCTTCATGGGCTTCATATGAAATATAGAAAAAGGAAAAGACGTCAAATGTTTTTATATACATTCATATTTGCACATAGATAAATGGTAATTTTTACAGTCGTACACTGAGAATCATGAACTAGTTGCTTGATGAATTTTCTTCGCTCATTACTCTACTGAACTGCGCACTTCACTACACGTAATGCGTTTAGGTCAGGAAAGTTAGGTCCTGACTATTTAGAAGCAACTAGAGAAATTGATTTACATGACACATTCAAAAATCTACAATTGTGGATAGATCTTTTCCTGGAAGAAGCTCTTTGATGACGCTACGTTTGAATTTTATAATCTTGATGGTATCGTTAAATAGAAAACTATTTATCTGGACACGCGCCTCTTAATTTTATTCAAAATCGTATAAATAGTGAGAGCGATTTCAAACATTCAACGTTTTGTGAAAAGTTGATATTTGAAACTGGATTTTCAGCATTTTTTAGAAGTCTGGTTTGTATAAGCAACTTGAGAATTTTTTTATGCCTACCACATTGTCGCCAACATACGCAATTTAAAGTTTGAACATCTCCTAGTTCTTAATTGTATCTATACATGTTTCACGTTTGTACTATGAGATAATGACAAGATCGGTAGAAAAAAATAACTGCAGTAGATTATATACTTACAGCACTTTGAGTGCGTAAACCAGATGAATTCCTTGAGTTATTTATATGATTTGGTTGAGTCGAATTGCGCGTTTCCAAAAAATCACCAGTATTGGTCACTGGATATACTGAGATCAAACTTGTAAGAATAAGGAATCCGTAAATAAAGGAAGGATGGACGTTTTGGAAATATCGTGAGAGTACCATAGTGAGATCTCAGACAGTTTAATCAACTGTTCTAATTTCTTGTCTCTGGGATGACTGGCATTGACTGAATGGTTTAATACAATTTGATCACTTGTATTCATACAGTCGGTATAATGTTTATGACCCTAAAACACGTATCTTGATATTTTTGAATCCGCTTTCTTTTAAATTGGCCTCGTGACGTCCACATGCATGTGGTGGATTCACATGTACATCCCACATACGTGAGTGATTTTAAAAATTCATTTCCTGTAAACGGGTGGAAACGATTATTGGCCCCACCTTTTTTGTTGCAATATTCTCCAGAAGAAGGGGAAGTTTGTGTAGCATTGTTGTTATAGTGCAAAGAAACATTTAATTTCAGCTCTAAGGCTTATATTGGCCTTACTCCCTCCCCCAAATTCCTATACGTACTTTTCGCTGGCATTTCAAATATACCAAGATGAAAATAACAAATCTTTCTTCTTTTTTTCAAGGTTTTCATCTCAGCAAAGCTGCTATATTTCCAGGTACCTGATGTACGTGCTTTACTTAATTTATGGTCTCATTAAAGTATTCACAATTATTGCTCTCGCTTTTGAAGTTACGTAGAATCAAAAAAGTGATGAGTATTGTAGTACTAATCGGGATAACTTTTTTGACCACACAGTTGTTTGTCACTTTGGAATTTATTCTTCCAATAAAAACTATTAGCACTATTCGTACATTTTTAATCAAATTGAGTTTAGAACATATTATCTATCATACAGGTTTACTAGCACTAGTACGAAATGAAAAGATGGAATGCCCTGGTTTTGAATGGAAACAATTCTAGTCTTTTTAAACAACGCCTTCGTACTGTTTCGATAATCTGGAAGCCTCAGTGCATACACAATTGGATTGACAGCGAAATTCACCATGGCAACTGGTTCGTAGTAGTAAGAAAAACGCCTAGCCAATTCACCTTGTATTTTTCCAAGCCTTTGAATAAACTCCACTTGTTTGGCGACAAAATAAGGAAATGCAGTTACCAGTAATAAGACATTCAGCACAATGATTGCCTTTACAATTTCAAAGTGTTTAGTGTTGTACTGTTTAGCATTTACTTTAGTGTCTTGTCGACTTTGCAATACAACCTTAAGTATGAAACACTTCAATATGATCTGAAGTAAAACAGCGATTTCCAAGACAGCATATACCGTGATATAGGTGTACATAAGCTGTTCATTTTTCTTGGTGTAAATTGATGTGAGTTCACCAAATGCCATGCAAATGGAAATCAACCAAACTGTGGCGCATAGTATGTAAATTTTCTTCGTAGATAACATTTGTTGTTTATATTTGGGATACTTTGCAATCATGTAAGTTTGCCATGTGAGTGATGTCAAGTGAAAAAATGAGCCCGCAGCCCCAAACATCCAAAAGAAAAGGAAAGAATAAATGACAGCTTTTGATGGTTTGATCTCGAACAATCTACCCAATCCAACAATCATGAATTGGGACAGAGATGCAGTGAAATCAGCTATAGATAAGCTTAAGATAGTAATCCACGGTCCTCGTCTTAGTTTGTTTAAAGGATCCTTCACAATAACAACAATAAGAAGACCATTTGTTAGGACACCAACTGTGGAGATCACCATTGTTGTTATTAATATTTCTTGAGGAAGTGAGAAACTTTTCTTCGGTTTCTTATTAAATACATAAATACATGTTTATTATATGTTGCAATATTTTTAAATTAAAAATTTGTTCTTTTTAGACGAGGAACTAAATTATAACGCTCAAATCCTGGTTCTCACTTTCGGCAAAAGTATAAACATGAGCATAACTGCAAAAGATTATCAACTGTCAATTCTTCTTATGCTTATGTTTATGTTGCAAATGATGACCAAACTTAAAATGATGTCGTTTTACAAATATCGACTTTTGCATAAGCTTTTAAGTTTTAGTCTTATATATGAGTTTGAGAACATTGCCATTATTTATTTTTGTAGGAACTGATTTTTTCAGTTTCCACTGTGTGTGAACTGTGATATATTCGCATAGCAAGACCAAATATACGGGCTTACTTTTACGCCACTACATTAGGTAAACATAATTTGAGAAATGTTGTAATTTTTATGTTTTGTTCTTATTAAGGCAACCAACACAAGCTTTGCTGTTTCTATGAAAATTCCAATTTCACGAGGAACAAACAATGTTGAATATCATGTAGTTGCCTAGTTCATTACACAGAGAAGATATTGATGAAAATATCATATCTCGGTACATATAAAAAAATGAGTTCTTGATATGCATGAGAGATATGCAGATATTGTCTTTTTCTTGGTACTCTTGAACTCTTGAAGAAAGCAGGCAAGTGAAAATGACTTGATATTGTAAATATGCATAGAATATTTACAATATCAAGTCATTTTCGTTCGTATTCGGAGATATTGGTGAAATCGTTTTATGCATGTTTTATCATACGATTATTTGATTTTGCCAAATAACTATGGATAGCAATGTTTATCTTTACAGCTTACCTTGAAGCCACAAAATGCTAATTAAATGAACTGCACATAATAATTTTGCTTATTCTCAAAATGTCAAATTTCATGATAAAATCACTGCATGTAACGTTGTCGAGTAATACAAAGAGCAAACGCGTTTACGTTTTTCTCGCATGCTTTATGTATTTCTTTGAATGCATTTCTCTTTGCAGTCAACAAAGTTTATTCTCATGACTTATAATACTTTTTATATAATACTTACTTTTCCATTATTTTGCGAAACGGAGGAATTCCTTGTGCAATTTATTTGATCTGTTTTAGTCGAATTACACATTTTGATAGAATTGTCACTAGCTTTGACCACTGGCACTGGCACTGGATATACATTCAACAAACATATAAAAACAACGTATCTATAAACATATTGTACAGGTACCATAGCGTGACGTCAGAAATTGATTTTATGTAAGGAAATGTACGCCGGGTTCCACCTGTCTAAAAAAGTAATATAATTTACTTATACAAAATCTACTTTGAATTGTACAAAGTCTGGTAATTACATGAATCGATGACTAAAATTTGGTTTAAAAGGATTCGATAAACCACATGTCGAAATGTTTTATTAATCGTACTATCAACTCAAACGAACACAGGGTTTGGTAAAACGCCGTAATCCTGCTATTACAAAAAATAATTATTATATACCTTCAAGACTAACTTCTTTGTCGTCTGCTGGCCTTCTTATAATAAGTTTTGGATGTTATAAAAAAATGACTGTCTCGTTCGTCGTGTGATGCGTTCTTAACTCTTCTTCTCACAAATACTCAACTGATAGCAAAATAAAATGTCTTATATGGTAAATTAAGACCGCGTGTATGTATCTGGTGTTTTGAAACAGACAAAACAAATGTTCTTCTGGGTTGATGTTGACCTCCGAAGTATCTTAACGGCTACGTCCGACTACTTCAAAACTTGGGCTGGGCATCATGATGATGTACACAAAATTCTCACGTATACAGGAAGTACTGACAAAGAAGAAAATGGATAATTGGCTGTATATTGTGATGTAGAAAGTGAGACGAAATATCCCTGCACGCGATGTATTGAATTCTACTTTCTTTAATATTGCAGTGAACTGATTCACTCACCAAAATAAATTTTATTCGTGTAAAAGTTATGGCTTTACCAGGGCCCAGGGTGGTCTCATGTTATTGAGAATTCTTAGCAAAGTCTTTGTTGTAGGTATCTTGATTTGTCATATTTCAAAACATAAATTCGTTCAATGTTAAGAATAACGTACTATTAAATGCTATAGCAAAATTTCCTGTTTCAGCACACAATGAAAGTTTGTGCTTTTGGTCATCACACGAATTTTTTGTGTAAGCAGACTTTTCATCATAACGCAAGTAGAATAAAAACTATGCAAATTTCATTTTGATGGTACATCGTTATTGTTTCTTTTGGCTCATATGCCTGTGTTGAAAGGATTCTGTATTTAAGCTGTCCGTGCACTTGCGACTGTACGTTAGCTGCGTACACATTTTCTTTATCTTGAACAGATCAACTTACTCTTTGAGCGATGGAACGAAGTTCTGTTTATACCGAAGTATTTGTTTTCCAATACATTCTCCAAGTAGCCGCCGATATATGAAAGAAGTTTGTTGTCATTTTTTTAACAAGCTATAGAAGACTTAACAAACAAGCAAGACTCATTTTTTCTTTCAAATTTTTTATCGAAGCATTAAGCAAATCTGTAACGTCTCTAAGTTCAAGGTTTATTTGATTAATGATATGTATCGTTAAAAAAGTATTACACTCCTGATCTTTCTCATGAAAAGAAAAGTCAAAAAGTTGGCTTTAAATTTTAGTCAGTTTAAATCTCGCTACAAATCATGATAGTTTCTTTGTCTTTCATCTTCCCTTTAAAACTATGCTAATATTACCTATACTATACCCAAATAAAAAATTTATATATTAATCATAAAGTTATGAACGATGAATGTAGTTACATCGCAAATGTTTCATTGGTGAATTTGTGATAAGCAAAAACGTGTCGTTAGAGTGATATAATAGCTATTATTGATACACTGGGTTCAATTCCTTACAAAGTTTCTTGATTGTTTGAGTAAGTTTTCTTGAACCCCATTGACATAGACGAATAGCGAAAATGCAAAACATGAAAACCACTTAAACACGGGCAAACCACTTAAACATTGGCAAACCACTGGTTTTGAGGACGTTGCTCTGATGCTGCTTGTATTTTCTGAAAATGTATTTTGGTTTTGCTCAAACAATAATGGTGTATAACATGATATACAGAGCAAAAAGCTCTCTAAAGGGAGACTTTATTATGTATAAATCTATAACCGTGGGTGTGTGTGGGTGTTCTGATGTGCATTTTATCTGAAATACCTGTCAGTCTGTCGCTATTGTTTTGAACAGCTACGTCTTTCAAAAATTTCAAATCTTTCACTTTGAAAGTCATTAGTTAACGATGGGATCAAAGTTTCAGATTGAAGTTCTCTTTCCTTCCTTGTCGGTCAATGTTTTTGGCTCAGATTAAAATCAACGGTTTCTTCTTGTTAAGTGAAAATAACTCTCGATCTTTTCCCGCTAAAGTGGTTCGATTTGTGCACGTGTTGATTGTACTAATCTTCTTAGTGCAGTTATACAAACATATTTCTTATTGTGATTAAAGGAAATGTCTTGCCGTCTTCTCCTAAATGATCAGAGATGATGGTTTTTGTGTGTGTGTCTGTGTGTCAGTGTATGTGGGAGGGGGGTGGAAGACGCCCGATTGTTAAGTGTGTTCATTAATTGTTTGATATATTAGTATTATGCAGGGAAATTGACTTCCATCTTGTGTATCTAAGACTGGGGGTGGTGGTGCATACTTCTCAGCAACCCTGTCCTAAATCCATCCATGCGTTTTGATGTATCATTAAATTCTTGATAAATGACTAATGATGTCTCAGCCTGGCAGTTCTATTTCATAATGTGGTCAGTCGTCTAGTTTTGATGTTTTTTATGTTACATTGCTATTCGTTATGGGCTTGTGGCAATCGAAAAGCACTTAAAATACATCATATAACAACACCTAATCAAGATAACTGCGTTAAAATAGCAAAGCTCCATCTTTCAATGCAACTTTCTGTTATCTTTGTGATCACTAGTCTTTATCCCGAATGGGCAATTGATAAGCTGATTGTTAAGCAAATTTTTATAAGTCAGTTTTCCATCCAAAATGAATTAAAATTTCACAACATAAAAAGATTGAATGTGGGGCTCAATTTGGACTGCGCGAATGACTTGGCTTATTAAATGTTATCAATTTAAAAAGTATAAAGTCTTATAAATGAAAGAGTTAAGCTGTGAAAGACTGAAAGTTATCAACAAACTAAAAATGTCCAAACATGTTTAAGGCTGGTTTAAATTAAGTCAAACAGGCCGAAGTTGTTTGAAACTTTGTACTATCCTTTGACATTATATTTTATTCTACGGGTAGGACTCTTGTAAATAAAAGTAGAACTTTGAAAATAGAAAATCCCGTTTTCGTTCTATGTCTCCCTATACTCCTGTGTAATGTTTTACACCCAAAATTTCATTTTAAGGATAATGAGAAATATTCCTTTTGCGCAATAGCGAATTATTGTATTCGAAGACCCATAAACCTTATAATTACTGCACAGAAATTTTAATTCATATTTTATATTTTAAATGAAACCAAAGTTTAGTGAATTTAGAATATATAGCTCATAATGATAAAGTTGTTAGCTAGTTTGTTTTAAGTAAAAACCAGTGAAAACTGGAGTAAATGCATCAGTAAAATTTAATTATTCAACAGTTCCGATTTTAATATTAGCTACACTAAAAGCTATGTCAGAAATGAAAGATTTTTAATTATCATTACAAAGTGCGTTTATTATTTCGCGTAAATTTTTTTGTTATTAAGTGATATGCAGAAATGACAGACGTTCTTTGACAATTTTTCTGAAACTGTTTATGATGTCGAGTTTATGTTTGTGTCGTTTTGTAAAATTGTTTTTGTTATTGGATATTGAAAATATATCGTTTTGTTGTACGTTGATAATATATTTTTTACGAAAATATTTTTGTCTATAGAACTATACATTAGGATTGATGAGAATTGTGTAAAGATGTTTTTGTTATTGGATATTGATAATATATCGTTTTGTTGTACATTGATAATATATTTTTTACCAAAATACTTTTGTCTATAGAACTATACATTAGGATTGATGTGAATTGTGTAAATATGTGACTTGTAAAAGAATAAGATATTTTTATTTCTTTTATTGTTTAAACCCTGTGAAGACGTTTAAAAGCTCAAAGCTTCGTTCTTAAAGTTTAAAGCACAGTTTCTAATGATACAGGGGTATGGAGAATTGTCATATATCTTTATTAAGTCATTACAGAATTAGATAACTGGAGCTCAACTCTTCACGTCATTGCTACTGTTGCTGGTACTTCTTTCGCAGGAGAGGGTGGAGAGGTGACAGTACTTCTCTTGCGGGAGAAGGGTTGGTGGTGGTGCTTGTACTTTCTTGCGGGAGAAGGGTTGGTGGTGGTGCTTGTATTTCTCTTGCGGGAGAAAAGTTGATGGTGGTGTTTGTACTTCTCTTGCGGGAGAGAGGTTGATGGTGGTGCTTGTATTTCTCTTGCGTTAGAGAGGTTGATGGTTGTGCTTGTACTTCTCCTGCGTTAGAGAGGTTGATGGTGGTGCTTGTACTTCTCTTGCGGGAGAAAGGTTGGTGGTGGTGCTTGTACTTCTCCTGCGTTAGAGAGGTTGCTGGTGGTGCTTGTACTTCTCCTGCGTTAGAGAGGTTGATGGTAGTGCTTGTACTTCTCCTGCTAGGAGAGGTTGATGGTTGTGCTTGTACTTCTCCTGCGTTAGAGAGGTTGATGGTGGTGCTTGTACTTCTCGTCAGGGAGAGAGGTTGGTGGTTGTGCTAGTATTTCTCCTGCGTTAGAGAGGTTGATGGTGGTGTACTTCTCCTGCGTTAGAGAGGTTGATGGTGGTGCTTGTACTTCTCTTGCGGGAGAAAGGTTGGTGGTGGTGCTTGTACTTCTCCTGCGTTAGAGGTTGCTGGTGGTGCTTGTACTTCTCTGCGTTAGAGAGGTTGATGGTAGTGCTTGTACTTCTCCTGCGTTAGAGGGTTGATGGTTGTGCTTGTACTTCTCCTGCGTTAGAGGTTGATGGTGGTGCTTGTACTTCTCGTAGGGAGAGAGGTTGGTGGTTGTGCTAGTATTTCTCCTGCGTTAGAGAGGTTGATGGTGGTGCTTGTACTTCTCCTGCGGGAGAGGTTGGTGGTGGTGCTTGTATTTCTCTTCCTGAAAGGGTTGTATTGGTGGTACCAATCTTCTCTTACATGAGAGGAGGTGGTGGTGCTGCTGGTATTTCCCTTGCAGTAAAGGGGATATTGGTGGTGCATGTACTTCTCTCGCGGGAGAGGGAAGTGGTGGTGCATGTACTTCTCTCGCATGGAAGGTGGTGGTGGTGGTACCAGTATTCTCTTGTGGGAGAGGTGGTTGTGATGCATGTACTTCTCTCGCAAGAAAGGTGGTGCTGGTGGTACCGGTACTTCTCTTGCGAGGGAGAGTGGGAAGGTAGTTGAACCTCTTAACTCTCTGTATCGTGTGTTTCTTATGTTTTTCTAGTATAAATTTAATATTTTTGAATACAATCATCCGTCTAGAGAACTTTGCTTTTCGATAAAATTTATGTACGTAAATGTAAGTGAATATCATAGAGTAAAACCGTATAAAGTATTTTAATCTAGTTATTGCATTATTACGCTGTGGTAGCTATGTTTTTCTGTTGCATTCATTTTTTTGATCTTTCTTTTGTGTGTTCATTTTTAATTTAGTACTTACCTTATATAAACTGATTTTCCGATTGGGTCAATTAGATAACAGCGATGAACTCTAATTATTGAGATTCGGCATTTCTATGGCATCTTTTACTTCACTATACTTTGAACCAATCATAAACCTTGATTTTGTTGTTGCAATCTTTAAATCGACCTGTAGTGTAAACCTTATTTTAAGTCACTCAACTTTAAATGCATTTTTTATTTTTTATATTTATTACAAAAATGGACATTGAGATGATGATGAAATGTAAAAGTTTGTTTTATTTTCTATCCTATGTTACAACCTGAGGTTTTGACGATGGGTGCCATGATGAAACTTTACATTCAAAGTGTTTTCTCTTTGTAAGCGGAAATGCTCGAATGACGTCATCGATGAAATTCCTATGCTCATTATTGAATATTGACAGCAATAAATAAAGGTCCTGTTGAACGTACGCTGTGCAAGATTACTACAATAAAAACTCTATGATTGCATAACTGATTTTCTAACTATAGACCTCTATAAAAACTATAACTAATTTTCAGTGCATGTGTCGTCATACATAGCTAACTGTTCTCCCCGTCAATTGTCATTACGTCAACATATTCATCGCTGCTTTGTGAACTTTTTCTTTTCTTTCTTGCTCGTCGATTTTGAAACCATATTTTGATTTTGTTTTCCGGTAACGTCAGTTCCAAACACAAACTACGAACTTCATCACTTGTCAAGTACTTCATTGTTTCAAACTTGTTTTCCAGGGTCGTCAGCTGTTTGGGAGTGAATGGAACTCTGGGATTGCGACCGGGCTTTCGTTTCTGTTTCGGTCGACGTTTACTTGACTCTGAAACAGGACAAGACACAGCGTCGAGACATGGGTAAGTGACAATAAAAAGAATGGGGGTGAGGGGGGTATATGGGTTGTACGTTTCTCAGCAGGTTGTGTGATTGGATTAAAACAAATCCAATATACATGCATAAAATATAATTTATACCGCCACAAATTGTGGCCTTGTATTCATGTAGCCTAAATAACAGCAAACATATAAATCAGTTTTAGAAATATACGTAGACGAAAAAGGCTTGCAATACATATTTTAATATGTGGTGTTTTAACGAAAATTATTATCGTAGCTTCAAATATCAAGCATGACGTCAATTAAACTTTCATAAAAAGTTTATTTGAAAATTACAATGTCGTCATACCAGGCAATATTAACCAATAAAATAACACGCATGTTATGGACTTTCACATTAATTTATCTGTCATAATTGAATCATACAATAAAAATGATATGCAGATTTGAAAGGAAAAAGAAAAATTCTATGTCAACTAGAAAATACAATTGTGCTTATAGAACTATGAAAGGTGACCGTAAGACAGAGTCTAAACATGACAAAATAATTCCGTTTTCAAGTCAAACATGTATACATGGGTTTGTTCGTCGTTGAATTTTAGATGGAAAAGCAAAAAGTAATAAAAATAAGTTGAAGACAACAATCAAACACTCTTCGTTCATAACGGCATATTTTAGGTTTTAACATTCAAACATCTTTTCCCTTGAATAGTCCAAACTGAACGACGCCTTTAAAATATTTATAAAACAAAGGAAAAAGTATTTTTAGTTCTACGATCCGTCATATCCATCACATGCATAGAGTTTTGACGCATCTCATGCGCAACTATAAATGACTCTCTAATGTTTTAATTGCTCAGAGCATTTAAAAAACAGCTGATATTACAAGAAGTCAAAATGAACTTATATGTTTTGTCATGAACTTTTTTTATCTTGTTGCTTAAAGACTTTGAAAGGTATTATCCAAACTAAGAACAGCACGAATCCATTTAGTAAACTCAAGCTGTTAAGAAGCTTGATGTCTGTGTTTAAAAACACTTGATACTTGATGGTATAAATATAGCTGTGCCATAGGAATGATGTACTGGTAGTAAATCTACTTTGAAACTTAAAGAATTGGACGTCAAGCTTCTCTTGGGCTGTTGTGTAAAGTATGAAAGGGTTGAAACAAGGCCTTGTTCTTTTCATCATATTGTGTTTTTTTTTCTTCCTGCTGTGCAAAATGGTTGTGGTTGAATGGCGAATCTTTCGAGAATCCAATTGAACTGGAAAACAAAAAGGAAAAGCGTCAGCTGCGTCACCATATGAAAAAAAAAAGATGTCGTTTATCTAGAGTAATGTTTTGTAAAGGAAGACGTTCAAAAATCTTTATGGACAATAACAAAATGTATTCATTAAAGTGTATTGTTCATTGTTTGTTTATTATCAGCTTATTCTATCAAACACTAAAATTATACAAATATAATTGTATGAAAATATAATGTGTATGTGTGAATTTTAAGACTATGCTCATTTCTGCCTTCCTCTTTTTGCTAGTGCAGATAAAATGCTACATATTGATAGATTTCTAAACATACCTTTTCTTGCAAACTATAAAGTACTATTAAAAACGATTCTGCCTGAATTTTCAAATACATGCTGATTGCTGACCATGCTGTTTTATCAATGAAAAACGTTCTGCCATTTTGAAAGAAGTTAAGTCTGTAAGGGCAACTTGCTTTTTCTTGTGAAATTTTCGATGCAACAAAGCTGCCAAGTTTTACCTGTTACACAAAGCTTCTGCTCACGCTAAATTCAATGTAGAGAATTTCTTCGTAAAGATGTAAATAAGCAGCAAGGAAAACAACGTATTATTAGATACGATATTGTACTATGTTTTGATGTGGCTATCAAAATAGTTTGTTGCAGGCAAAATTGGCTACAAATCCAAACATTACACTAAAAATTACACAAAAGTATAACTACAAATTCCACTAAAGTTTATGTTATTACCTATATTAAAAAAATAATCATTATATATATTTGTAATCAAGTTATATATGATCAATGCATATTAATCAACGCATATTATCTACAAAGCAATCGTTTCATCAGCAGAACGGAACGAGGTTGTCGATTGCTGTGCTGTATCAGTAGAAATAAAACTGTTCATTTTAAACAACGCCTTCAGACTGTTTCGATAATCGGGAAGCCTCAGTGCATACACAATTGGATTGATAGCGAAATTCACCATGGCAACTGGTTCGTAGTAGTAAGAAAAGCGCCAAGCCAATTCACTTTGTATTTTTCCAAGCCTTTGAATAAACTCCACTTGTTTGGCCACAAAAAAAGAAAACGCAGTTACCAGTAATAGGATATTAAGCAAGATAGTTGTCTTTACCATTTCCAGATGTTTTCTATTGTGCTGTTTAGCATTTACTGTCGTGTTTTGTCGATTTTGCCATACTATTATAAGTATTAAACACTTCCCAATAACCAAGATCAAAACAGCAATCTCCAAAACAGCATATAGCGTGATATAAGTGTACATAACGTGGTCAAATTTCTCGACAAAAATTGATGTGAGTTCACCAAATGCCATGCAAATGGCAAACAACCAAACTGTGGCGCATAATATGTAAATTTTCTTCGTAGATAACATTTGTTGTCTGTATTTGGGATACTTTGCAATCATGTAAGTTTGCCATGTGAGTGATGTCAAGTGAAAAAATGAGCCCGTAGCCCCAAACATCCAAAAGAAAAGGACAGAATAAATGACAGTTTCTGATGGTTTGACCTCAAACAATCTACCCAATCCAACAATCATGAATTGAGACAAAGATGCAGTAAAATCAGCTATGCATAAGCTTAAGATTGTAATCCTCCTTCCTTGTTTTAGTATGTTAAGCGGATCTACAAGAATAAGAACAACAAGAAGACCATTTGTTAGGACACCAATTGTGGAGACCACCATCGTTGTTATTAATGTTTCATAGCCAAGTGAAAAACTCTTCATGGGCTTCATATGAAATATAGAAAAAGGAAAAGACGTCAAATGTTTTCATATATATTCATAATTGCACATAGATAAATGGTAATTTTTACAGTCGTACATTGAGAATCATGAACTAGTTGCTTGATGAATTTTCTTCGATCATTACTGTGAAGACACTCTACTGAACTGCGCACTTCATTACACGTAATGCGTTTAGGTCAGGAAAGTTAGGTCCTGACTATTTAGAAGTACCTAGAAAAATTAATTTACATGACACATTCAAAAATCTACAATTGGGGATAGATCTTTTCCTGGAAGAAGCACTTTGATGACGCTACCTTTGAATTTTATATTCTTGATGGTATCGTTAAATAGAAAACTATTTATCTGGACACGCGCCTCTTAATTTTTATTGAAAATCATTATAAAATAGTGAGAGCGATTTCAAACATTCAACGTTTTGTGAAAAGATTGATATTTGAAACTGGATTTTCAGCATTTTTAGAAGTCTGGTTTGTATAAGCAACTTGATAATTTTTTATGACTACCACATTGTCATAAAATTTTAAAGTTTGAACATCTCCTAGTTCTTAATTGTATCTATACATGTTTAACATTTGTACTATGAGATAGTGATACGTGTTAGAAAAATAACTGCAGTAGATTATATACTTACAGCACTTTGATTGCGTAAACCAGATGAATTCCTTGAGTTATTTATATGATTTGGTTGATTCGAATTGCGCGTTTCCAAGAAATCACCAGTATTGGTCACTGGATATACTGAGATCAAACTTGTAAGAATAAGGAATCCGTAAATAAAGGAAAGATAGACGTTTTGGAAATATCATGAGAGTACCATAGTGAGATCTCAGACAGTTTAATCAACTGTTCTAACTTCAAATTTCTTGTCTCTGGGATGATTGGCATTGACTGAATGGTTTAATGCAATTTGATCACTTGTATTCATACAGTCGGTATAATGTTTATGACCCGTCAACACGTATCTCGATATTTTTGAATCCGCTTTTTTTAAATTGGCCTCGTGACGTCCACATGCATGTGGTGGATTCACATGTACATCCCACATACGTGAGTGATTTTAAAAATTGATTTCCTGCAAACGGGTAGAAGGACAGAATAAATGACAGCTTTTGTTGGTTTGACCTCGAACAATCTACCCAATCCAACAATCATGAATTGAGACAAAGATGCAGTGAAATCAGCTATAGATAAGCTTAAGATAGTAATCCACGGTCCTCGTCTTAGTTTGTTTAGATCCTTCTAATAACAACAATAATACAAGACCATTTGTTAGGACACCAACTGTAAGGATCACCATTGTTGTTATTAATATTTCTTGAGGAAGTGAAGCTTTTTTCTTCGGTTTCTTATTAATTACATAAATATATATGTTTATTATGTGTTGCAATATTTTTAAATACAAAAACTTGTTCTTTTAGACGAATTAATTATAACGCTCAAATCCTGGTTCTCACTTTCGGGAAAAGTATAAACATGAGCATAACTGCAAAAGATTATCAACTGTCAGTTCTTCTTATGCTTAAGTTTATGTTGCAAATGATGACCAAACTTAAAATGATGTCGTTTTACTATCATCGACTTTTTTGCATAAAGCTTTTAAGTTTTAGTCTTATATAGGTTGAGAACATTGGCATTATTTATTTTTGTAGGAACTGATTTTCAGTTTCTGTGTGTGAACTGTGATATATTCGCATAAGCAAGACCAAATATACGGGCTTACTTTTACGCCACTACATAAAGTAAACATAATTTGAGGAATGTTGTAATTTTTTTGTTTTGTTCTTATCAAGGCAACCAACACAAGCTTTGCTGTTTCTATGAAAATTCCAATTTCACGAAGAACAAACAATGTTGAATATCATGTAGTTGCCTAGTTCATTACACAGAGAAATATTGATGAAAATATCATATCTCGGTACATATAAAAAAATGAGTTCTTGATATGCATGAGAGATATGCAGATATTGTCTTTTGCCTGGTACTCTTAAACTCTTGAAGGAAGCAAGCAACTGAAAATGACTTAATATTGTAAATATGCATAGAATATTTACAATATCAAGTCATTTTCGTTCGTATTCGGAGATATTGGTGAAATCGTTTTATGCATGTTTTATCATACAATTATTTGATTTTGCCAAATGACTATGGATAGCAATGTTTATCTTTACAGCTTACCTTGAAGCCACAAAATGCTAATTAAATGAACTGCACATAATAATTTTGCTTATTCTCAAAATGTCAAATTTCATGATAAAATCACTGCATGTAACGTTGTTGAGTAATACAAAAGAGCAAACGCGTTTACGTTTTTCTCGTATGCTTGTATGTATTTCTTTGAATGCATTTCTCTTTGCAGTCAACTAAATTTATTTTCACGACATATAATACTTTTTATATAGTAATTACTTTTCCATTATTTTGCTTTAATGTTTCATAATCAAACGAGCTAATGTTTATGCGTTTCATCTTCAATGAAACCTATGAAAATTTTAAATGCATTGTAAACTGTCATATTTCTCAATGGTGGAGAAGAAAATTGCAAGAATTTTAGAAATGCATTAATTCAATGCTTTATCTCTTCTCAGTCTATTTCATTTCTTTTAGACGTAGTTTTCCATGCAAGTGTGCAAGTTTGCACTCATCAGGTGTTACGAATTACAGAATACGGAAGCATTTCGAAGCGGATACACCTCAAGGCTTTATGGATGAGTGATAAAAATTCAAATACGACTCATAGAACTGCTGCAGTCTTTGCTGCATATTACTGTGCTATAAAGGGGAATGTGGAGATTTTACAGAGTTGGACAGCAAAGTATTCGCAAATGTAATTGTGAAACGGAAATCATTTCTGCTGCGCTTGACACGAGGATTTGATATGATTTTTATTCTAAGTCTCTTTTATTGTGAGATGTATTAAAATATTGTGAACACTTTTAGATTATTGATTTCGAGATGGAATATGATAATAAATAACTTACAGAAATTATGGAAGGTACAATTATTGTAGTTGATGGTGGTCTTATAAATATTGGAATGTTGCAAATAATTCTAAAATCAGTGCACATAATACTGTGAAGAAGTTTGTATCTAAAATAAAGCGCTAAAGTTCAAAGTGTTTTTGATAGAAAAATCTTTCCTTTTAAACGTATTCAGTTTGGTATAGGGTAAACCAACTCTGATAATGCCATAAAATCATAAAAGGAAATAATAAATACAAAATTATAAGATTTTTCAATGAGATGACTTTTAATGGCTTCAGTTAGACTATTGTGGCTTTTTGACTTTTTTAATATGAGATTTTTTTTACACCTAAATATTTCTTTGAATGCATTTCTTTCTAGTCAACAAAACATTTCATTGACTTTAAATTAATTCATCAGACCAAATAAAATGATTTTTGTAATTACATACAATAGAGTTTTTGTTGATAAACTTACATCACTTTGATTACGAGAACCAGTCTCATTCCTTGTGCAATTCGTCTGGTTTGTTTGAGTCGAGTTGCACATTTTTCGTCCCACCAGCATTGTATTGGATGTACTTTCATCAAACTTGTAAGAATAAGGAATCCATAGACATAGGAAGGATAGACGTTTTGGAAATGCCTTTTAATTATCATAGTGAGACCCTAGATAATATTGTGCGCTGCTTTTCTTTCACTTTGAATTTGATATTGACAGAGTATGTTCTCCCTAAAATCAAGTAAGCGTTGTGTGTGTTGGAGTTTTTATTTCATCGTCGTGCACGTACAAATTGTTTCCAGATTTATTTGGCGTGGGTTTCCGGAAATCTTGTATCATATTTACGTCATGTTTATAGAGGATCGTTAATTAAGGTTTTTGCGAAAAACTGCAGACGTTTTGTCATTTGTCTGTTTATAGTACAATCAAATATCTTTGTACGAGCACTTTTTAAATACAGAAACCTTGTTATTTTAGAAGTTCCATGTAATTTTGCTTTCTCTCATGGATTTTCTTCCACTCTATTCCCTAAATCTTTGTGTATAGATTTTGAAATATTCGTAATTTGTTTTTAATTCAATATTCGACAAATATCGTGTTTGTATTTGAAGGAAAGCATGAATAAACAAGAAACAAAAAACACATTAGTAAATAAGATTATCATACACTGTTTTGATAATGGAAATATCTCATGTATTTTAAGTTGTGTAACGCAAAACGAGTGGTTAAATATACGTGATGCATAATAAAGAAATTCGTGATTAAATGCATATGGTAATCACAAATTTTAATAACCGCAAAGACTGCCCCATCCTTGTCTTTAGCGAGTAGTTGTCAAATATTCAATGAAAACATCATACCCTGTTCATTGTTTAATCAAATAGTGAAAACTTTTGCCTTATGTATGGTATTCTTTGTATTTCATTGACATGCATCTAACGTTTATATTATACATGATGAAAATTCTAATCTGCTTGTAAAGTTTTTGTTAAGTAAATATTAATAAAACCATATAGAACTATTTGTAATTTAATATTTTTGATAAAAGTAGGTAAAGATTGAATTGAGTCGCTCAAATCCAGTAACAATTGACGTAGAGCGGACACAGAAGCTGAAATGTGTTGACAAATCAATATTCCGATGACAGCCGTAAATTCCATTATTAAGGTGTAATTCAATTCAAATATGACATATTATGTAATATTTAATTTATCACACAAAGCGTATTTTGATTTGGAGGTTTTATGAAGTACCTTTACTGCTTTAGGCACAAAGTCTGATCGTATTATGATGTCTAATCAGATTATTGTTAGTGATAAGTTGTTATTAACTTGCCTTTACGCAGGTGCTTAGATACTTTGATGCATCTGCCCACGAACTGGTGTCCAGTGTATTATCAAAGTTCATAGTTGAGAATTGAGAATGGTTGAGATGAGATTGTTTGTGTTATTTATGAATTTTAAGACCAATTTGTGGAAGTACGGTGTGAAAGTCTTTCCATGACAGCATTCACAAGAAGATTATAAAGATTAGCTGGGTTTTTTTTAAGGAGTAGGTACGAATTTGTTAGCGTATTTTGTTTTTGTAATTATGTGATGAATTTTGCCGATGCTCTTAAGTCTTAACTCTCGAGGCTCGTGTTGATATAACATTATTTATGTCGATTATTAATGTCAAAAATATTTTCGAAAATTTTTTGTTCCGTTAAAATCGAAATCCCCCGCAAGAAATCCAGTCACATTTGCACAAGAGAAAAAGGTATTCTATTCTTGAATATAAAATTCAAATATGGCGTTAAAAATATTGCTCCAGGTGTTTTGAGTTCAACGGATATTATAATTTAACCTTGTGTATATGTTTAAGTATGTATAAAAATTTTGTTTCAAGAGGGTAACAGACAACAGACAAATAGACTGATAAACTACTGTCTCTCTTATACTATATATACAAATGTATATCAAAATTATACTATAGTATATATTTAAAAAATGATCATGCACTCAACTTGAAAACATTTATATACTTCTTGTTTAGTTAGCATGAATTTGACGTCAAGTACGTTTATTTTTGGCAGTCTGTGTGACGTGTATTAATTTGATCATGGAGCATTTAGTTTATTAAAATGCGTGACAAAAGCACCTTTGTTTGTTTTTCTATATATGCACTCGTACTTAAGCGTATTGTAATGTAGGCTAGAATTTGTGATAAGCAAAAACGTGTCGTTAGAGTGATATAATAGCTATTATTGATACACTGAGTTCAATTCCTTACAAAGTTTCTTGATTGTTTGAGTTAGTTTTCTTGAACCCCATTGACATAGATGAATAGCGAAAATGCAAAACATGAAAACCACTTAAACACGGGCAAACCACTTAAACATTGGCAAACCACTGCTTTTAAGGACGTTGCTCTGATGCTGCTTGTATTTTCTGAAAATGTATTTTGGTTTTGCTCAAATAATAATGGTGTATAACATGATATACAGAGCAAAAAGCACTCTAAAAGGAGACTTTATTATGTATAAATCTATAACCGTGGGTGTGTGTGGGTGTTCTGATGTGCATTTTGTCTGAAGTACCTGTCAGTCTGTCGCTATTGTTTTTAACAGCTACGTCTTTCAAAAATTTCCTATTTGTCACTTTGAATGTCATTAGTTGACGATGGGATCAAAGTTTCAGATTGAAGCTCTCTTTTCTTTCTTTTCTGTCAATGTTTTTGGCTCAGATTAAAATCAACGATTTCTTCTTGTGAAGTGAAAATAGTTATCGATCTTTCCCGCTAAAGTGGTTGGATTTGTGCACGTGTGATTGTACTAATCTTCTTAGTGCAGTGGCATCCTGTTATACAAACATATTTCTTATTGTGATTAAAGGAAATGTCTTCCGTCTTCACCGAAATGATCAGAGATGATGGTTTGTGTGTGTCTGTGTGTCAGTGTATGTGTGAGGGGGTGAGGAAGCCCGATTGTTAAGTGTGTCCATTAATTGTTTGATATATTAGTATTTTGCAGGGAAATTGACTTCCATCTTGTGTATCTAAGACTGGGGGTGGTGGTGCATATTTCTCTTCAACCCTGACATAAATCCATCCTTGCGTTTTGACGTATCATTAAATTCTTGATAAATGACTAATGATGTCTCACCCTGGCAGTTCTATTTCATAATGTGGTCAGTCGTCTAGTTTTTTCAATATTGCAGTGAACTGATTCACTCACCAAAATAAATTTCATCCGTGTACAGAACGTCCTGTTGTATTAAAGTTATAAAACTTTACCAGGGCCCAGGTTGGTCTCATGTTATTGAGAATTCTTAGCAAAGTCTTTGTTGTAGGTATCTTAATTTGTCATATTTCAAAACATAAAACTCGTTCAATGTTAAGAATAACGTACTAATAAATGCTATAGCAAAATTTCCTGTTTCAGCACACAATGAAAGTTTGTGCTGGGTATCACAGAATTTTGTAATAAGCAAACTTTTCATCATAACGCAAGTAGAATAAAAACTATGCAAATTTCATTTTGATGGTACATCGTTATTGTTTCTTTTGACTCATATGCCTGTGATGAAAGGATTCTGTATTTAAGCTTTCCTTGCACTTGCGACTGTACGTTAGCTGCGTACACATTTTCTTTATTTTGAACAGATCAACTTACTCTTTGAACGATGAAACGAAGTTCTGTTTATACCGAAGTTTTGTTTTCCAATACATTCTCCAAGTAGCAGCCGATATATGAAGTAAGTTTGTTGTTGTAGCGACCAGATCAAACTTGAGTCATAGTTGTTGTGCGTCAACGGATATGCGATGTGAGTAAGCACAACAAAGCGCTAAAATACCACAACCCGACACAAAGCATGAAAGCACTTAACTTGCCTTAGAAGGAACAAGTCATCCCACTATTACGTGCAGGATATGACTGAGAACACTCTCTTTAGTTACTATATAGATGCACGACAAAATATAGAATAGAGACAAAGAGATGAATAGAGCATAGCAAATTGAATGTAAACTCGTATGATTAAATATAATGCAATATGTAATAATGATACATTGCAAGTGTATGATTTCATGGCATAACTGCATATACCGAGGGACATAAGGATCCAAATCTAACCGTTCTACGGCCCACCGTTATATTGTCATTTTTTTAACAAGCTATAAAGACTTAAGTCTGTAAGCAACTCTTTTTTCTTGTGAAATTTTCGATGCAACAAAGCTGCCAAGTTTGTACACGTTCTCTAAGCTTCAAGGTTTATTTCTTTATAGATATGTACCGCTAAAGAAGTATTTTACTGCGATCTTGTACTATGAAAAGATGTGTCAAAAAGTGGCTTTCAAAATTTAGTCAGTTTAAATTCGCTACAAATACAAATAGTTTAACTTTACAAATTCCTTCTAAAGACTATGTAATATTACCTATATTAAAAAATAATCATTTATATATTTGTAATCAAGTTATATATGATGTATATTAATCGCTGATATGTTTCTCAATGGACCGGAAGGAAAAGTTGTCGATTGCTGTGCTGTATCAGTAGAAATAAAACTGTTCTTTTTAAACAACGCCTTCAGACTGTTTCGATAAACTGGAAGCCTCAGTGCATACACAATTGGATTGACAGCGAAATTCACCATGGCAACTGGTTCGTAGTAGTAAGAAAAACGCCAAGCCAATTCACTTTGTATTTTCCAAGCCTTTGAATAAACTCCACTTGTTTGGCGACAAAATAAGGAAATGCAGTTACCAGTAATAAGACATTCAGCACAATGATTGTCTTTACAATTTCAAAGTGTTTAGTGTTGTGCTGTTTAGCATTTACTTTAGTGTCTTGTCGACTTTGCAATACAACCTTAAGTATGAAACACTTCAATATGATCTGAAGTAAAACAGCGATCCAAGACAGCATATACCGTGATATAGATATACATAAGCTGGTCAAATTTTTTATGTAAAAGTGATGTGAGTTCACCAAATGCCATGCAAATGGCAATCAACCAAACTGTGGCGCATAATATGTAAATTTTCTTCGTAGATAACATTTGTTGTCTGTATTTGGGATACTTTGCAATCACGTAAGTTTGCCATGTGAGTGATGTCAAGTGAAAAAATGAGCCCGCAGCCCCAAACATCCAAAAGAAAAGGACAGAATAAATGACAGCTTTTGATGGTTTGACCTCGAACAATCTACCCAATCCAACAATCATGAATTGAGACAAAGATGCAGTGAAATCAGCTATAGATAAGCTTAAGATAGTAATCCACGGTCCTCGTCTTAGTTTGTTTAAAGGATCCTTCACAATAACAACAATAAGAAGACCATTTGTTAGGACACCCACTGTGGAGATCACCATTGTTGTTATTAATATTTCTTGAGGAATTGAGAAACTTTTCTTCGGTTTCTTATTAAATACATAAATATATGTTTATTATATGTTGCAATATTTTTAAGAACAAAAATTTGTTCTTTTTAGACGAGGAACTAAATTATAACGCTTAAATCCTGGTTCTCACTTTCGGCAAAATTATAAAAATGAGCAAAACTGCCAAAGATTATCAACTGTCAATTCTTCTTATGCTTATGTTTATGTTGCAAATGATGATTAAACTTAAAATGATGTCGTTTTACTATCATCGACTTTTGCATAAGCTTTTAAGTTTTAGTCTTATATATGAGTTTGAGAACATTGCCATTATTTATTTTTGTAGGAACTGATTTTCAGTTTCCACTGTGTGTGAACTGTGATATATTCATAGCAAGACCAAATATACGGGCTTACTTTTACGCCACTACATAAAACATAATTTGAGGAATGTTGTAATTTTATGTTTTGTTCTTATCAAGGCAACCAACACAAGCTTTGCTATGAAAATTCCAATTTCACGAGGAACAAACAAAGTTGAATATCATGTAGTTGCCTAGTTCATTACATAGAGAAGATATTGATGAAAATATCATATCTCGGTACATATAAAAAAAATGAGTTCTTGATATGCATGGAGATATGCAGATATTGTCTTTTGCCTGGTACTCTTGAACTCTTGAAGAAAGCAGGCAAGTGAAAATGACTTGATATTGTAAATATGCATAGAATATTGGTAATTCTAAACAATCTCGTATCTTTGATATTTTCGTTCGTATTCGCAGATATTGGTGAAATCGTTTTATGCATGTTTTAGCATACAATTATTTGATTTTGCCAAATAACTTTGGATAACAATGTTTATCTTTACAGCTTACCATGAAGCCACAAAATGCTAATTAAATGAACTGTACATAATAGTTTTGCTTATTCTCAAAATGTCAAATTTCATGATAAAATCACTGCATGTAACGTTTTTGAGTAATACAAAGGAGCAAACGCGTTTACGTTTCTCTCGCATGCTTGTATATGTATTTTTTTGAATGCATTTCTCTTTGCAGTCAACAAAGCACTCGAGTATATTTTCATGACTTACAATACTTTTTATATAATACTACTTACGTTTGTATTATTTTGCGAAACGGAGGAATTCCTTGTGCAATTTACTTGATCTGTTTTAGTTGAATTGCACATTTTGATAGAATTGTCGCTAGCTTTGACCACTGGCACTGGATATATATTCAACAAACATATAAAAACAACGTATCTATAAACATATTGTACAGGTACCATAGCGTGACCTCAGAAATTGATTTTATGTAAGGAAATGTACGCCGGGTTCCACCTGTCTAAAAAAGTAATATAATTTACTTATACAAAAATCTAATTTGAAGTGTACAAAGTCTGGTAATTACATGAATCGATGACTAAAATTTGGTTTAAAGGATTCGATAAACCACATGTCGAAATGTTTTATTAATCGTACTATCAGCTCAAACGAACACAGGGTTTGGTAAAACGTTGTAATCCTGTTATTACAAATAATAATTATTATATACCTCCAAGACTAACTTCTTTGTCGTCTGCTGGCCTTCTTACAATAAGTTTTGGATATTATAAAAAAAAACGACTCTCGCGTTCGTCGTGTGATGCGTTCTTAACTCTTCTCACAAATACTCAACTGATAGCAAAATAAAATGTCTTATATGGTAAATTAAGATCGCGTGTATGTATCATGTGTTTTGAAACAGACAAAACAAATATTCTTCTGGGTTGATGTCGACCTCCAAGTGGCTTAACACCTACGTCAGACTACTTCAAAACTTGGCCTGGGCATCATGATGATGTACACAATCTTCTCACGTATACAGGAAGTACTGACAAAGAAGAAAATGGAAATTGGCTGTATATTGATGTAGAAAGTGAAACGAATGTCCCTCCACGTTATGTATTGAATTCTACTTTCTTCAATATTGCAGTGAACTGATTCACTCACCAAAATAAATTTCATCCGTGTACAGAACGTCTTTTTGTATTAAAAAGTTATGGCTTTACCAGGGCCCAGGTTGGTCTCATGTTATTGAGAATTCTTAGCAAAGTCTTTGTTGTAGGTATATTAATTTGTCATATTTCAAAACATAAATTCGTTCAATGTTAAGAATAACGTACTAATAAATGCTATAGCAAAATTTCCTGTTTCAGCACACAATGAAAGTTTGTGCTTTGGGTCATCACAAAATTTTTGTGTAAGCAAACTTTTCATCATAACGCAAGTAGAATAAAACTATGCAAATTTCATTTTGATGGTACATCGTTATTGTTTCTTTTGGCTCATATGCCTGTGATGAAAGGATTCTGTATTTAAGCTGTCCGTGCACTTGCGACTGTACGTTAGCTGCGTACATTTTCTTTATCTTGAACAGATCAACTTACTCTTTGAGCGATGGAACGAAAATCTGTTTATACCGAAGTTTTGTTTTCCAATATAACCACCAAGTAGCAGCCGATTATGAAGTAAGTTTTTGTCATTTTTCAACAAGCTATAGAAAACTTAACAAACACGACTCATTTTTCTTTCAAATTTTTATCGAAGCATTAAGCAAATCTGTAACGTCTCTAAGTTCAAGGTTTATTTGATTAATGATATGTACCGTTAAAAAAGTATTACACTCCTGATCTTTCTCATGAAAAGAAATTCAAAAAGTTGGCTGTAAATTTTAGTCAGTTTAAATCTCGCTACAAATCATGATAGTTTCTTTTCTTTCATCTTCCCTTTAAAACTATGCTAATATTACCTATACTATACCCAAATAAAAATTTATATATTAATCATAAAGTATATGAACATAGATGAATGTAGTTATATCTCAAAAGTTTCACTTATTGGGAATCAGAAGGAAATTGTAGTAATAATCGTTATACTGGTTGTTTGTTTTGGAATAAATAACAGCACTATTCTTTTTGAGAACATACGCCTTCATACTGTTTCGATAATCTGGAAGCCTCAGTGCATACACAATTGGATTGACAGCAAAATTCACCATGGCAACTGGTTCGTAGTAGTAAGAAAAACGCCAAGCCAATTCACCTTGTATTTTCCAAGCCTTTGAATAAACTCCACTTGTTTGGCGACAAAATAAGGAAATGCAGTTACCAGTAATAAGACATTCAGCACAATGATTGTCTTTACAATTTCAAAGTGTTTAGTGTTGTGCTGTTCAGCATTTACTTTAGTGTCTTGTCGACTTTGCAATACAACCTTAAGTATGAAACACTTCAATATGATCTGAAGTAAAACAGCGATTTCCAAGACAGCATATACTGTGATATAGGTGTACATAAGCTGTTCATTTTCTTGCTGTAAATTGATGTGAGTTCACCAAATGCCATGCAAATGGCAATCAACCAAACAGTCGCACATAATATGTATATTTTTCTGGTAGACAACATCTGTCGGCTACGTATGGGATACTTTGCAATTATGTAAGTTTGCCATGTGAGTGATGTCAAGTGAAAAATGAGCCCGCAGCCCCAAACATCCAAAAGAAAGGACAGAATAAATGACAGCTTCTGATGGTTTGACCTCGAACAATCTACCCAGTCCAACAATCATGAATTGGGACAAAGATGCAGTGATGTCTGCTATAGATAAGCTTAAGATGGTAATCCACGGTCCTCGTCTTAGTTTGTTTAAAGGATCCTTCACAATAACAACAATAAGAAGACCATTTGTAAGGACACCAACTGTGGAGATCACCATTGTTGTTATTAATATTTCTTGAGAAGTGAGAGACTTTTCTTTGGTTTGTTCTTCAATGAAACATTTGAAAATTTTAAATGCATTGTAAACTGTCATATTTCTCAATGGTGGAGAAGAAAATTGCAAAAATTTTAGAAATGCATTAATTCAATGCATTATCTCATGTCAGTCTAATTCATTTCTTTTAGACGGAGTTTTCCACTGCAAGTGTGCAAGTTTTGCACTCAGCAAGTGTTACGAATTACAGAATACGGAAGCATTTCAGAAGCGGATACACCTCAAGGCTTCGTGGACGAGTTATAAAAATTTCAAATACGAACTCGCAGAACTGCCATTTTCTGCAGTCTTTGCTGCATATTACGTGCAAGCAAAAGAGGGAATGTGGAGACTTTTACAGAAGTTGGACAGCAACAAAGAATTCACAAATTGTGAAACGGAAATCATTTCTGCTGCGCTTGACACGAGGATTTGATATGATTATTTATCATATGATTTTTATTCTAAGTCTCTTTTTGCGTGACATGTATTAAAATATTGTGAAATGTTGCAAATACTTCTAAAATCACTGCATATTATACTGTGAAGAAGTTTGTATCTAAAATAAAAGCGCTAAAGTTCCGCGTGTTTTTTGATAGAAAAATCTTTCCTTTTAAATGTATTCAGTTTCAAGCATGGCGTAAACCAACTTCAGATAATGCCATAAAAATCGCATAAAGGAAATAATAAATGCAAGAATTATTAGATTGTTCAATAAGATGACTTTTACCCAATGGCTTCAGTTAGACTATTGTGGTTTTTTGACTTTTTTTAATATGAGATTTTTTTGCACCTACCTCATTTCTTTGAATGCATTTCTTTCCAGTCAACAAAACATTTCATTGACTTTAAATTAATTCATTAGACCAAATAAAATAATTTTTGCAGTTACATACAATAGAGTTTTTGTTTATAAACTTACATCACTTTGATTACGAGAACCAGTCTCATTCCTTGTGCAATTTGTCTGGTTTGTTTGAGTCGAGTTGCACATTTTCCCAAATCACCAGCATTGGCCATTGGATGTACTTTCATCAAACTTGTAAGAATAAGGAATCCATAGACAAAGGAAGGATAGACGTTTTGGAAATGCCTTTTGATTATCATAGTGAGACCCTAGATAATATGGTGCGCTGCTTTTCTTTCACTTTGAATTTGATATTAACAGAGTATGTTCCCCCTAAAATCAAGTAAGCGTTGTGTGTGTTGAAGTTGTTATTTCATCGTCGTGCACATAAATATTGTTTACAGATTTAATTGGCGTATTTAATATGATGATCATTTTTGCGAATGTTTAGAAGTTTGTTATTTGTCTGTTCATAATACAATCAACCATCCATGTAGGAGCACTTTTAAATACAGAAACCTCGTTATTTTAGAAGTTCCCGTAATTTTGCTTTCGTGACGATTTTCACTCTATTCCTAAATCTTTGTGTATTATTTTGAAATATTCGGAGCGTGTTTTTAATTCAATATTCGACAAGTGTCGTGTTAGTATTTGAAGGAGGCATGAATAAAAGAAACAAAAACAAACAAGACAAGATTATCATACACTGTTTTATAATTAAATCTTGTAACTTAAGTTGTGTAAATACAGAAACAGTTAAATATACGTGATGCATAATGCTTCATCGTGGATTAAATGCATATGGTAAATCTTTGGTTTTAATTTTGAAATATTCCATCCTTGTCTTTAATTAGTTGTCAAATATTCAATGAGAACATCATGAATATTCATTATTTAAATCATCATAATGAAAACTTTAATCTAGATAAATCTTGTGATGCATGAGAAAATTTCATCAGTTAAGAAGGTAAAATGCAATGTCAATTTACCATAAAACATTCACCATAAACGTTGGAAAAAACAATTTGAGAACTTAAAACATAAATCACATTCACGTTTCTAATTATTTGACAAATACAAGTCCTTGCCGATACATTTTGCAACGATCAACAAACCAAGTACACACCTGATCACTCTTCAACATGATCAACAAACAATTTTTGGAAAACAGCTTAGCTAGTATATCGAAGATATAATTGGATATGCATTGTGTAGCTTGGTATCAAACCGCCACTCACATGAGGTGAGTTGAGAAAAAATCGAAACATCGCTTGCTTTTTTGTTCGTAGCTAATAGTAACATTGACTAGGACATCATTTTGTAGTGTACAAAATGAGATTTTTTCTCAACAACGATTTTCTTTGACATATCATGTTATATAATAGAATAAAATAATTATAAACACAGGTGTGAATAAATCAGCTGAGAACACATTTTATTTGGCATTAATTGCAAGAGGAAATTTCCGTCTGTGCGAATGTATTGACAACGTTTGCCGTAACTTGAGTAGAATTAAGGATTTGTGAAAATTATAAGCAATGTATAGAGAATTGCATGCACATAAATAATTGTAAAACTTTTGTCTCTGTTTACAAATCTTTTTAACTAAAATTAGTTTATGTTTTGTGTAATCACTCTCTTACCTGATGTTCTTCTTTCAAGAGTCTTGGCGCACAATGACAAAAACACTTTTCTTTTGACATATTAAAAACACATTTTGAATAATTATGCAAAGTAACAATAATCTTTTAAAGTGTATGTTTTTACCCCAACACAGTTTGACAACTTTCTATTCACTTATGAAATGTATTATGCCACGAAAGTTCTTTTCCTGATAAGCCAAATTATCATGTAAATGATGCAAAACACGGGAGATTAATAAGAAAGACGTTGAAAAATATCAGTAATTAATGTATAAGATATAGTTGTATAAAAATGTCATCAACACTGAAACTAATACAAACAGCCACACCTTTGTACACAAGACGAATATTGCTATTTCTTTAATATTCAATTCTTCAAAATGATTTTAATTAATCTACCATCGTTAGACATAGTGAGTAATGTTAAGTAATTAAAATCAGTGTTTCTGACTCTCGTAGCTCTGATTCAAAGGCTATTCATGAATGGTTTCCAATGATTTTGCATACACACCACCGTCATATACGATAACTTATTCCTAATTTAAAGTTTGAGTCCTTAACAGACCAGCTCACACGATGCTAACTACCTCTAATCCATTCATCCCGGCTAAATATTGAGGGTTTCACAATTCTTCACCTAGTCCTTTTAGCAATTCTTTGCATCATGTGCCGTCATTTTGATCAATGGCAGCTTTTACTGAATAATTCTTCATGAATTACTCTTCTGAATGACTCTTCAAAAATAAGTTTAATGATTTTGTTCTTCATTATTGTATATTAGATAAGTCTTTTTCCCATTTTCCATTACTACTTTCCTCAAATAAGATGATTAGAGATTTTGCAGGGGAGACAATTCAAACATTGTGCATATTTTTCATGGAGACAGTCAAATGTCGATTATAGCAAGATGACATATCATGTAATATTTAATTTATCACACAAAGCGTATTTTGATTCGGAGGTATAATCAATCGATTGTTAAGTGTGTCCATTAATTGTTTGATATATTAGTATTTTGCAGGGAAATTGACTTCTCTTGTATATCTAAGACTTGGGGTGGTGGTGCATACTTCTCTGCAACCCTGTCCTAAATCCATCCTTGCGTTTTGACGTATCATTAAATTCTTGATAAATGACTAATGATGTCTCAGCCTGGCAGTTCTATTTCATAATGTGGTCAGTCGTCTAGTTTTGATGTTTCTTATGTTACATTGCTATTCGTTATGGGCTTATGGCAATCGAAAAGCACTTAAAATACATCATATAACAACACCTAATCAAGATAACAGCGTTAAAATAGCAAAGTTCTATCTTTCAATGCAACTTTGTGTTATCATTGTGACCACTAGTCTTTATCCCGAGTGGGCAATTGATAAGCTGATTGTTAAGCAAATTTATTTAAGTCAGTTTTCCATCCAAAATGAATTAAATTTCACAACATAAAAAGATTGAATGTGGGGCTAATTTTGAACTGTGCGAATGACTTGGTTTATTAAATGTTATCAATTTAAAAAGTATATAGTCTTGTAAATGAAAGAGTTATGCTGTGAAAGACTGAAAGTTATCAACAAACTAAAAATGTCTAAACATATTTAAGGCTGGTTTAAATTAAGTCAAATAGGCCGAAGTTGTTTGAAACTTTGTACTATCCTTTGATATTATAGTTTATTCTACGGGTAGGACTCTTGTAAATAAAAGTAGAACTTTGAAAATAGAAAATCCCGTTTTCTTTCTAAATCGCCCTATACTACTGTGTAATGTATTACTCCCAAAATTTCATTTTCAGGATAATTAGAAATATTCCTTTTGCGCAATAGCGAATTATTTTATTCGAAGAACCATAAACCTTATAATTAAATGAAACCAAAGTTTAGTGGATTTAGAATATACAGCTCATAATGATAAAGTTGTTAGCTAGTTTATTTTAAGTAAAAACAGGTGAAAACTGGAGTAAATGCATCAGTAAAATTTAATTATTCAGCAGTTCCGATTTTAATATCAGCTACACTAAAAGCTATGTCAGAAATGAAAGATTTTTAATTATCATTACAAAGTGCGTTTATTATTTCGCGCAAATTTTTTTGTTATTAAGTGATATGCAGAAATGACAGGTGTTCTTCGACAACTTTTCTAAAACTGTTTATGACGTCGAATTTATGATTGTGTCCTTTCGTAAAATTGTTTTTGTTATTAAATATTCACAATATATCGTTTTGTTGTACATTGATAATATATTTTTTACCAAAATATTTTTGTCTACTATACAAACCATACATTAGGATTGATGAGAATTGTGTAAATGTGTGACTTGTAACAGGATAAGACATTTTTATTTCTTTTATTGTTTAAACCCTGTGAAGACGTTTAAAAGCTCAAAGCTTCGTACTTAAAGTTTAAAGCACAGTTTCTAATGATACAGGGGTATGGAGGATTGTCATAAATTTGTATTAAGTCATTACAGAATTAGATAACTGGAGCTCAACTCTTCACGTCATTGCTCCTGTTGCTGGTACTTCTTTCGCAGGAGAGGGTGCAGAGGTGACAGCACTTCTCTTGCGGGAGAAGGGTTGGTGGTGGTGCTTGTACTTCTCCTGCGTTAGAGAGGTTGATTGTGGTGCTTGTACTTCTCTTGCGGGAGGAGGGTTGATGGTGGTGCTTGTACTTCTCCTGCGGGAGAGAGGTTAGTGGTAATACTTGTATTTCTCTTGCTGGAAAGAGGGTTGTATTGGTGGTACCAATACTTCTCTTACGTGAGAGGAGGGTGGTGGTGCTGCTGGTATTTCCCTTGCAGGAAAGGGGATGTTGGTGATGCATGTACTTCTCTTGCAAGAAAGGTGGTTGTGGTACCGGTACTTCTCTTGCGAGAGAGGGTGGGAAGGTAGTTGAACCTCTTAACTCTCTGTATCGTGTGTTTCTTATTTTTTTCTACTATAAATTTAGTATTTTTCAATACAACCATTCGTGTCTAGAGAACTTTGCTTTTCGATAAAATTTATGTACGTAAATGTCAGTGAATGGCATAGAGTAAAACCACATAAAATATTTTAATCCAGGTGTTGCATTTTTACGAAGTGGTAGCTATGTTTTTATGTCTCATTCATTTTTTCGATCTCTCTTTTGTGTGTTTATTTTTAAGTTAGTACTTACCTTATATAAACTTGTTTTCCGATTGGATCAATTAGATAACAGCGATGAACTCTAATTATTGGGATTTATCATTTCTATGGCATATTTTACTTCACTCTTCTTTGAACCGATCATGAACCTTGATTTTGTATTTGCAGTCTTTAAATCGACCTGCAGTATAAACCTTATTTTAAGTCACTCAACTTTAAATGCATTTTTTATTTTTTATATTTATTACAAAAATGGACATTGAGATCATGATGAAATGTAAAAGTATGTTTTATTTTCTATCCTATGTTACAACCTGACGTTTTTACGATGTGTTCCATTATGAAACTTTGCATTCAAAGTGTTTTCTCTTTGTAAGCGGAAATGCTCGAGTGACGTCATCGATAAAATCCTATGCTCATTATTGAATATTGACAGCAATAAATAAAGGTCCTGTTGAACGTACGCTGTGCAAGATTACTACATTGCAAACTTTATGATTGCATAACTGATTTTCAAACTATGACCTCTATAAAACTATAACTAAATTTCAGTGCATGTCGTCATATAGCTAACTGTTCTCCCAATCAATTGTCATTACGTCAACATATTCATCGCTGCTTTGTGAACTTTTCTTTTCTCTTGCTCGTCGATTTTAAAACCATATTTTGATTTTGTTTTTCCGGTAACGTCAGTTTAAACACAAACTACGAACTTCATCACTTGTCAAGTACTTCATTGTTTCAAACTTGTTTCCAGGGTCGTCAGCTGTTTGGGAGATGATGGAACTCTGGGATTGCGACCAGGCTTTCGTTTCTGTTTCGGTCGACGTTTACTTGACTCTGAAACAGGACAAGACAGCGTCGAGACATGGGTAAGTGACAATAAAAAGAAATGAGGGGGAGGGTATATAAAGTTTGTACGTTTGTCAGCAGGTTGTGTGGTTGGATTAAAACACATCCAATATACATGCATAAAATATAATTTAAACCGCCACAAATTGTGGCCATGTATTCATGTAGCCTAAACAGAGCAAACATATAAATCCTTTTTAAATATACGTTGACGAAAAAAGGCTTGCAATACATATTTTAATATGTGGTGTTTTAAACGAAATTATTATCAGCTTCAAATATCAAACATGACGATCAACAAAACTTTAATAAAAAGTTTATTTGAAAATTACAATGTCGTCATACCAGGCAATATTAACCAATAAAATAACCGCATGTTATGGACTTTCACATTAATTTATCTGTCATAATTGAATCATACAATAAAATGATGTGCAGATTTGAAAGGAAAAAGAAAAAATTCTATGTCAACTAGAAAATACAATTGTGCTTATAGAACTATGAAAGGTGACCGTAAGACAGAGTCTATACATGACAAAATAATTCCGTTTTCAAAGTCAAACATGTATACATGGGTTTGTTCGTCGTTGAATTTTAGATGGAAAAGCAAAAAGTAATAAAAAATAAGTTGAAGACAACAATCAAACACTCTTCGTTCATACACTGCATATTTTAGGTTTTAACATTCAAACATCTTTTTCCACTTGAATAGTCCAAACTGAACGACGCCTTTAAAATATTTATAAAACAAAGGAAAAAGTATTTTTAGTTCTACGATCCGTCATATCCATCACATGCATAGAGTTTTGACGCATCTCATGCGCAACTATATAATCTCTCTAATGTTTTAATTGCTCAGAGCATTTAAAACAGCTGATAATACAAAAGTCAAAATGAACTTATATGTTATGTCATGAACTTGTCATAGAGAGTTCTAAGATTACATGAATGCTGGGAATTCTACTATTTAGTTTTACTAACTATATAGACAATGAGCATATAGGATGACAGTAGTTTCATGTAATACATTATTCTTACGAATGAATGTTTTATGCAGTGCGGTGTTTGAAATTAAATGAGATATGATCTTCGCACTTAGCTGGACAATTTTAAGCAATCGTCTCAGTACCTGAAAAAATCAGTGATCAACGGAATGTTGGTCTGATTATATAACCCTATTTACTACATTTTCAGCGCCTTTACGTGGGGATTTATGATTGAAGATATTTTCCGTGAAATAACTAAAATAGCTGTTATTGATTAAAAGCGATGATTATACTGTATAAGGCACTCTATTTAATGGAACTGTAGCATCTGTATAGGAACTGTTTATGTACTGTGTATCACAAGTAAGGCTAAAATTGTGTAGGTCAGCTCAAAGTCATTAATGATTTAATAAAAATATGAAAATTATTTTAACACACGTACAACTGTAACGATTTTATTTAAAGGAGCATGTGAAGATTACTCAGACAAAAAATTTTGTATGTATAAAAACAAGTAGTTTCGAATGTTCATTTTTTGTGAATGCTGTTTTGCAAAGTTAGAAGATTCCTTCCATTTGGCAACGCTACGTAATTAAACATGTTGTCACTACAGTTTATAAAAGCACTTGATGCTTCAATGCAGTTGAACACCGATACAAAATATAATTATGCTCAAGCTGTGTCTAAAATGAACCAAACAATAGCGAAATTATTGGCAAAACATAGAGACACTGAATACCCATTAACCAATAAAGCAACATATAGTAATAGGACACAGCTTTCGGTTCTAATCATTTTTTTTCGTCAAGTGTTCTCTTGTTGCTTAAAGACTTTGAAAGGTATTATCAAACTAAGAACAGCACGAATCCATTTAGTAAACTCAAGCTGTTAAAAGCTTGATGTCTGTGTTTAAAACACTTGATGCTTGATGGTATAAATATATGCCATAGGAATGATGTACTGGCAGTAAAATCTACTTTGAAACTTGAAGAATGGACGTCAAGCTTGTCTTGGGCTGTTGTGTAAAGTATGAAAGGGTTGAAATATGGCCTTGTTCTTTTCTTCATATTGTGTTTTTTCTTCCTGCTGTACAAAATGGTTGTGGTTGAATGGCGAATCTTTGGAGAATCAATTGAACTGGAAAACAAAAAGGAAAAGCGTCAGCTGCGTCACCATATCAAAAAAAAGAAGTATGGTCGTTTATACTGGGATAACGTTTTGTAAGGACGACGTACAAAAGATCTTTTGGACAATAATAAACTATTCAATTAAAGTGTATTGTTCATTGTTCGTTGATGATCAGCTTAATCTATCAATTTGATCACTTGTATTCATACAGTCGGTATAATGTTTATGACCCGTCAACAGGTATCTCGATATTTTAAGATCCGCTTTTTTAAATTGGCCTTGACGTACACATGCATGTGGTGGATTCACACATACATCCCACATACGTGAGTGATTTTAAAATTCATTTCCTGTAAACGGGTGGAAACGTAATATTAAAACACCTTTTGTTGCAATTTTCAGAAGAAGGGAAGTTTGTGTAGCATTGTTGTTATAGTGCAAAGAAACATTTGCCATTTAAGGCCTTAAGTCTTAAATTGCAACTTACTTTTCTTTGAAATTTCGATACAACAAGCTGCCAAGTTTTCCTGTTACAAGCTTCTCATCACGCAAATCTGTAGAAATTTCTTCGTAAAGATGTTCATCTCAGCAAAGCTGCTATATTTTAGGTACCTGATATTGCTTTACTTAATTTATGTCGCTATTAAAATATTTTATTGCTCTCAAAATTATTTACAAATACAAACATTACAAAAAATTACACAAGAGTATAATTTTTTTCCACACAAGTTTATGTCACTTTGGAATTTATTCTTCCAAAAAACTATTAGCACTATTCGTACATTTTAATCAAATTGAGTTTAGAAAATATTATCTATCATACAGGTTTACTAGCAGCAGTGCGAAGTGAAGTTTGATTGCCCTGGTTTTTAAATGGAAACAGTTCTAGTCTTTTTAAACAACGCCTTCATACTGTTTCGATAATCTGGAAGCCTCAGTGCATACACAATTGGATTGACAGCGAAATTCACCATGGCAACTGGTTTGTAGTAGTAAGAAAACGCCCGCCAATTCACTTTGTATTTTCCAAGCCTTTGAATAAACTCCACTTGTTTGGCGACAAAATAAGGAAATGCAGTTACCAGTAATAAGACATTCAGCACAATGATTGTCTTTACAATTTCAAAGTGTTTAGTGTTGTGCTGTTTAGCATTTACTTTAGTGTCTTGTCGACTTTGCAATACAACCTTAAGTATGAAACACTTCAATATGATCTGAAGTAAAACAGCGATTTCAAGACAGCATATACTGTGATATAGATGTACATAAGCTGGTCAAATTTCTATGAAAAAATTGATGTGAGTTCACCAAATGCCATGCAAATGGCAATCAACCAAACAGTCGCGCATAATATGTATATTTTCTGGTAGACAACATCTGTCGGCTACGTATGGGATACTTTGCAATCATGTAAGTTTGCCATGTGAGTGATGTCAAGTGAAAAAATGAGCCCGCAGCCCCAAACATCCAAAAGAAAAGGACAGAATAAATGACAGCTTCTGATGGTTTGACCTCGAACAATCTACCCAATCCAACAATCATGAATTGAGACAAAGATGCAGTGAAATCAGCTATAGATAAGCTTAGATGGTAATCCACGGTCCTCGTCTTAGTTTGTTTAAAGGATCCTTCACAATAACAACAATAAGAAGACCATTTGTAAGGACACCAACTGTGAGACCACCATTGTTGTTATTAATGTTTCATAAGGAAGAGAAACTGTTCTGGTTTGTTCTTCAAAAACATGAAATATTTTATTATATGTTGCATTGTAAACTGTCAATATTTCTCAGATGGTGGAAGAAATTGCAAAATTTAGAAATGCATTAATTCAATGCTTTATCTCATCTCAGTCTATTTCAGTTCTTTTAGCGTAGTTTTCCTGCAAATGATGACAAACTCAGCAAGTGTTACGAATTACAGAATACGAAGCATTTCAGAAGCGGATACACCTCAAGGCTTTTGGATGAGTTATGAAAATTTCAATTACGAACTAGAACTGCCATTTTCTGTAGTGCTGCATATTACGTGCTAGCAAAGGGGAAATGTGGAGATTTTTAAAGTTGGACAGCAACAAAATAATTCGGAATGTAATTTTAATCATTTCTTTCAAGGCATGACACGAGTTTGATATGATTTTTATTCTAAGTCTCTTTTTGCGTGACATGTATTTAAATATTGTGAACATATTAGATTATTTGATTTCGAGATACATATGATAAAATAAGTTACAGAAATTATGGAGAGGTACAATGTTGTCTTTGATGGTGGTATTATAAATATTGGAAAGTTGCAAATAATTCTAAATATTGTAAATGCACATTGAATATTGTAATTCTAAAAATTTTGTATCTTTTGATAGTTTTCGTTCGTTTTTGATATTGATGAAATCGTTTCCTTTTTAAACGTTATTTGATTTTGCCAAAAACTTTGATAATGTTTACAACTTCATAAAGCCACAAAATAATAAATGCAATGAATAAAGTTTTTTTTCAAAATATTTTCAATTAAAACTGCATTAACTTGTTTAATATGAGATTTTTTTTCTCCTACCGTATTTTTCTTTGAATGCATTTCTTTCAGTCAACAAAACATTTCATTGACTTTAAATTTTATTAATACAGACCAATTATAAACGATGATTTTGTGCAATTACTTACAATAGTTTGCACATTGTGATAAATTTACATCCACTTTGATTTAATCAACAGTCATTCCTTGTGCAATTGTCTGGTTTGTTTGAGTCAGAATTGATTTTAAAATGCCTTTTCCACCATCATAGTGATTTTACTTATCATCTTTTGTGCATCTGGAATTCATTCGATACTTTTGGAAATGATATAAACACAGTGAAACCCTAGATTAATGTAAAGTGCGAATTTGGTAGAGTAATTCTGTTATTATAAATAAAATTATATTCCAAGATAACTTTTTGTCGTGTGGTTCTTACAAATTGTTTTGGATTTATACGTTTCGTTTATTGTGATGCGTTTTTTTTTTTAAAATACTTGATAGCAAAATAAAATGTTTTAGTAAATTAAGATCGTTGTTGTACTGGTTTTTGAAACACAAAACAAATATTCTTCTTTTTGAGTCAGGTTTATAGTCAGATTTTCAAAATCTTCCATCATGATTTTACAAAACTTCCATTATAGGAATCCAAAAGAAAATTTGCTTTTTGATTTAAATTCGAAACGATATCCCTGTTTGTATTGAATTTTTTCATGAATATTGCAGTAACAAATTTTAAATAAATTTTGTTACAGAAATCTTGTTGTATTATTGTTTATCTCGGTTTAGTTTGTAACGCAAAGTTTTGTTGTAGGTATCTTGATTTGTCATATTTCAAAACATAAATTCGTTAATTTAAGTAACATTAAATAAATGGTAATCAAAATTTTATGTAACAATGAACTTTGTGTAATCCTTTTAAGTGACTTATCATAATGAAGTGAATAAAAAACATATCAAATTCATTTTTTAATCGTTATTGTTCTCTTTTGCCTGTATAAAAAGGTATATTTTTGTATTTCATTGTACGCATGGTAACTTTCTTTATCATGATGATCTAAATTCTTTAATCTGCTTGTAAAAAGTTTTGTTAAGTAAATATTAATAAAACCACATAGAACTATTTGTAATTTAATATTTTTGATAAAAGTAGGTAAAGATTGAATTGAGTCGCTCAAATCCAGTAACAATTGCCGTAGAGCGGACACAGAAGCTGAAATGTGTTGACAAATCAATATTCCGATGACAGCCGTAAATTCCATTATTAAGGTGTAATTCAATTCAAATATGACATATTATGTAATATTTAATTTATCACACAAAGCGTATTTTGATTTGGAGGTTTTATGAGAAGTACCTTTCACTGGCTTTGCAGGCACAAAGTCTGATCGTATGATGTCTAATCAGATTATTGTGTGATAAGTTGTTATTAACTTGCCTTTACGCAGGTGCTTAGATACTTTGATTGCATCTGTGCCCACGAACTGGTGTCCAGTGTATTATCAAAGTTCATAGTTGAGAATTGAGAATGGTTGAGATGAGATTGTTTGTGTTATTTATGAATTTTAAGACCAATTTGTGGAGAGTACGTGTGAAATGATCTTTTTCATGACAGCATTAACAAGAAGATTATAAAGATTAGCTGGGTTTTTTTTAAGGAGTAGGTACAATATTGTTAGCGTATTTTGTTTTTGTAATTATGCGATGAATTTTGCCGATGCTCTTAAGTCTTAACTCTCGAGCCTCGTGTTGATAAAACATTATTTATGTCGATTCTTAATGTCAAAAATATTTTCGAAAATTTTTTGTTCCGTTAAAAACGAAATCCCCCGCAAGAAATCCAGTCACATTTGCTCAAGAGAAAAAGGTATTCTATACTTGAATATAAAATTCAATTATGGCGTAAAAATATTGCTCCAGGTGTTTTGGGGTTCAACCGATATTATAATTTAACCTTGTGTATATGTTTAAGTATGTATAAAAATTTTGTTTCAAGAGGGTAACAGACAACAGACAAATAGATTGATAAACTACTGTCTCTCTTATACTATATATACAAATGTATATCAAAATTATACTATAGTATATATTTAAAAAATGATCATGCACTCAATTTGAAAACATTTATATACTTCTTGTTTAGTTAGCATGAATTTAACGTCAAGTACGTTAATTTTTGGCAGTCTGTGTGACGTGTATTTATTTGATCATGGAGCATTTAGTTTATTAAAATGCGTGCCAAAAACACCTTTGTTTGTTTTTCTATATATGCACTCGTACTTAAGCGTATTGTAATCTGGGCTAGAATTTGTGATAAGCAAAAACGTGTCGTTAGAGTGATATAATAGCTATTATTGATACACTGAGTTCAGTTCCTTACAAAGTTTCTTGATTGTTTGAGTAAGTTTTCTTGAACCCCATTGACATAGATGAATAGCGAAAATGCAAAACATGAAAACCACTTAAACACGGGCAAACCACTTAAACATTGGCAAACCACTGGTTTTAAGGACGTTGCTCTGATGCTGCTTGTATTTTCTGAAAATGTATTTTGGTTTTGCTCAAATAATAATGGTGTATAACATGATATACAGAGCAGAAAGCACTCTAAAAGGAGACTTTATTATGTATAAATCTATAACCGTGGGTGTGTGTGGGTGTTCTGATGTGCATTTTGTCTGAAGTACCTGTCAGTCTGTCGCTATTGTTTTGAACAGCTACGTCTTTCAAAAATTTCCTATTTGTCACTTTGAATGTCATTAGTTAACGATGGGATCAAAGTTTCAGATTGAAGCTCTCTTTTCTTTCTTTTCTGTCAATGTTTTTGGCTCAGATTAAAATCAACGATTTCTTCTTGTGAAGTGAAAATAGTTATCGATCTTTTCCCGCTAAAGTGGTTGGATTTGTGCACGTGTTGATTGTACTAATCTTCTTAGTGCAGTGGCATCCTCCTGTTATACAAACATATTTCTTATTGTGATTAAAGGAAATGTCTTCCGTCTTCACCGAAATGATCAGAGATGATGGTTTGTGTGTGTCTGTGTGTCAGTGTATGTGTGAGGGGGGGAGGAGGCCCGATTGTTAAGTGTGTCCATTAATTGTTTGATATAATAGTATTTTGCAGGGAAATTGACTTCCATCTTGTGTATCTAAGACTGGGGGTGGTGGTGCATATTTCTCTTCAACACTGACATAAATCCATCCTTGCGTTTTGACGTATCATTAAATTCTTGATAAATGACTAATGATGTCTCACCCTGGCAGTTCTATTTCATAATGTGGTCAGTCGTCTAGTTTTTTTAATATTGCAGTGAACTGATTCACTCACCAAAATAAATTTTATTCGTGTACAGAACGTCTTGTTGTTATTAAAAAGTTATGGCTTTACCAGGGCCCAGGTTGGTCTCATGTTATTGAGAATTCTTAGCAAAGTCTTTGTTGTAGGTATCTTAATTTGTCATATTTCAAAACATAAACTCGTTCAATGTTAGGAATAACGTACTAATAAATGCTATAGCAAAATTTCCTGTTTCAGCACACAATGAAAGTTTGTGCTTTGGGTCATCGCAAGAATTTTTTGTGTAAGCAAACTTTTCATCATAACGCAAGTAGAATAAAGACTATGCAAATTTCATTTTGATGGTTCATCGTTATTGTTTCTTTTGACTCATATGCCTGTGATGAAAGGATTTTGTATTTAAGCTGTCCGTGCACTTGCGACTGTACGTTAGCTGCGTACACATTTTCTTTATCTTGAACAGATCAACTTACTCTTTGAGCGACGAAACGAAGTTCTGTTTATACCGAAGTTTTGTTTTCCAATACATTCTCCAAGTAGCAGCCGATATATGAAGTAAGTTTGTTGTTGTAGCGACGAATCAAACTTAGTCATAGTTGTGGTGCGTCAACGGATATACGATGTGAGTAGGCACAACAACGCGCTACAAGCTAACCACACAAGCCCGACCACAAAGCATGAAAGCACTATAACGCGCTTAGAAGGAACTAAGTCATCCCACTATTACGTGCAGGACATGACTGAGAACACTCTCTTTAGTTATTATATAGATGAACGACAAAATATAGAATAGCAGACAAGAGATGAATGGAGCATAGCAAAATTGAATGTAAACTCGTATGATTAAATATAATGCAATAATAATAACGATACGTGGCAAGTGTATGATTTCATGGCGCAACTGCATATACCAAGGGACATAGGGATCCAAATCTAACCGTTCTACGGCCCACCGTTATATTGTCATTTTTTTAACAAGCTATAGAAGACTTAACAAACAAGCAAGACTCATTTTTTCTTTTAAATTTTTTATCGAAGCACTGGTCGAATATGTAACGTCTCTAAGTTCAAGGTTTATTTGATTCATGATATGTACCGTTAAAGAAGTATTTTACTGCTGATCTTTCTCATGAAAAGAAAAGTCAAAAAGTGGCTTTAAGTTTTAGTCAGTTTAAATCTCGCTACAAATCATGATAGTTTCTTTTTCTTTCATCTTCTCTTTAAGACTATGCTAATATTACCTATACTATACCCAAATAAAAAATTTATATATTAATCATAAAGTTATGAACGATGTAGTTACATCGCTGATGTTTCACTGGTGGACCGGAAGGAAAAGGTCGTTGACTTGGATGTTGGAGTAAAAACAGTATTCTTCTTTCTAAACAACGCCTTCATACTGTTTCGATAATCTGGAAGCCTCAGTGCATACACAATTGGATTGACAGCGAAATTCACCATGGCAACTGGTTCGTAGTAGTAAGAAAAACGTCCAGCCAATTCACTTTGTATTTTTCCAAGCCTTTGAATAAACTCCACTTGTTTGGCGACAAAATAAGGAAATGCAGTTACCAGTAATAAGACATTCAGCACAATGATTGTCTTTACAATTTCAAAGTGTTTAGTGTTGTGCTGTTCAGCATTTACTTTAGTGTCTTGTCGACTTTGCAATACAACCTTAAGTATGAAACACTTCAAAATGATCTGAAGTAAAACAGCAATCTCCAAAACAGCATGTAGCGTGATATAAGTGTACATAACGTGGTCAAATTTCTCGGCAAAAATTGATATGAGTTCACCAAATGCCATGCCAATGGCAATCAACCAAACAGTCACGCATAATATGTATATTTTTCTGGTAGACAACATCTGTCGGCTACGTATGGGATACTTTGCAATCATGTAAGTTTGCCATGTGAGTGATGTCAAGTGAAAAAATGAGCCCGCAGCCCCAAACATCCAAAAGAAAAGGACAGGATAAATGACAGCTTCTGATGGTTTGACCTCGAACAATCTACCCAATCCAACCATCATGAATTGAGACAAAGATGCAGTGAAATCAGCTATAGATAAGCTTAAGATGGTAATCCACGGTCCTCGTCTTAGTTTGTTTAAAGGATCCTTCACAATAACAACAATAAGAAGACCATTTGTAAGGACACCAACTGTGGAGATCACCATTGTTGTTATTAATATATCTTGAGGAAGTGAGAAACTTTTCTTCGGTTTCTTATTAAATACATAAATATATGTTTATTATATGTTGCAATGGGACCACCATTATTGTTATTAATGTTTCATAACCAAACAAGATACTCAAAATGGGTTTGTTCTTCAATGAAACATATAAAAATTTTAAATGCATTGTAAACTGTCATATTTCTCAATGGTGGAGAAGAAAATTGCAAGGATTTTAGAAATGCATTAATTCAATGCTTTATCTCTTGTCAGTCTATTTCATGTCTTTTAGACGTAGTTTTCCACTGCAAGTGTGCAAGTTTTGCACTCAGCAAGTGTTACGAATTACAGAATACGGAAGCATTTCAGAAGCGGATACACCTCAAGGCTTCGGGGATGAGTTATAAAAATTTCAAATACGAACTCGCAGAACTGCCATTTTCTGCAGTCTTTGCTGCATATTACGTGCTAGCAAATGGGGGAATGTGGAGACTTTTACAGAAGTTGGACAGCAACAAAGAAATCGCAAATGTAATTGTGAAACGGAAATCATTTCTGCTGCGCTTGACACGAGGATTTGATATGATTATTTATCATATGATTTTTATTCTAAGTCGATTTAAGATTTCGAGATGGAGCATATGATAATAAATAACTTACAGAAATTATGGAGAGGTACAATTATTGTAGTTGATGGTGGTCTTATAAATATTGGAAATGTTGCAAATAATTCTAAAATCACTGCACATTATACTGTGAAGAAGTTTGTATCTAAAATAAAAGCGCTAAAGTTCCGCGTGTTTTTTGATAGAAAAATCTTTCCTTTTAAACGTATTCAGTTTCAGGCTTGGCGTAAACCAACTTCAGATAATGCCATAAAAATCGCATAAAGGAAATAATAAATACAAGAATTATAAGATTATTCAATAAGATGACTTTACCCAATGGCTTCAGTTAGACTATTGTGGCTTTTTGACTTTCTTTAATATAAGATTTTTTTACACCTACCTCATTTCTTTGAATGCATTTCTTTCCAGTCAACAAAACATTTCATTGACTTTAAATTAATTCATCAGACCAAATAAAATGATTTTTGCAATTGCATACAATAGAGTTTTTGTTTATAAACTTACATCACTTTGATTACGAGAACCAGTCTCATTCTTTGTGCAATTTGTCTGGTTTGTTTGAATCGAGTTGCACATTTTCCCCAAATCACCAGCATTGGCCATTGGATGCACTTTCATCAAACTTGTAAGAATAAGGAATCCATAGACAAAGGAAGGATAGACGTTTTGGAAATGCCTTTTGATTATCATAGTGAGACCCTAGATAATATGGTGCGCTGCTTTTCTTTCACTTTGAATTTGATATTGACAGAATATGTTCTCCCTACAATCAAGTAAGCGTTGGGTGTATTGAAGTTGTTATTTCATCGTCCTGCACATATATATTGTTTACAGATTTAATTGGCGTGGGTTTTCGGAAATCTTGTATCATATTGACTGCATGTTTATAGAAGATCGTTAATATGATAATCGTTTTTGCGAAAAACGGCAGACGTTTTGTCATTTGTCTGTTTATAATACAATCAACATCCTTGTAGGAGCACTTTTTAGATACAGAAACCTCGTTATTTTAGAAGTTCCCATGTAATTTTGCTTTCACTCGTGGATTTTTTTTCACTCTATTCCCTAAATCTTTGTGTATATATTTTGAAATATTCGGAGCGTGTTTTTAATTCAATATTCGACAAGTGTCGTGTTAGTATTTGAAGGAAAGCATGAATAAACAAGAAACAAAAACACATTAGTAAACTAGATTATCATACACTGTTTTGATAATAGAAATATCTCAGGTAACTTAAGTTGTGTAACACAAAACGAGCGGTTAAATATACGTGATGCATAATAAAGAGTGTTGAAATTCGTGATTAAACGCATATGGTAATCACAAATTTTAATAACCGCAAAGACTGCCCCATCCTTGTCTTTAGCGAGTAGTTGTCAAATATTCAATGAGAACATCATACCTTGTTCATTGTTTAATCGAATAGTGAAAACTTTTGCCTTATGTATGGTATTCTATGTATTTCATTGACAACCATCTAACGTTTATATTGTACATGATGAAAATTCTAATCTGCTTGTAAAATTTTTGTTAAGTAAATATTAATAGAACCATATAGAACTATTTGTAATTTAATATTTTTGACAAAATTAGGTAAAGATTGAATTGGGTCGCTCAAATCCAGAAAAATTGACGTACAGCGTACACAGAAGCTGAAATGTGTTGACAAATCAATATTCCGCAGACAGCCATAAATTCCATTATTAAGGTGTGATTAGCTAATGCTGTTGTTGAAGATGGAGATGGTTCAGTGTGTCGAATTTTGCATCATGACTAAGACACGTTAAATGTAGATAAGGTCGCTTTAACTGGGAGTTTCATTCGAGAATAATTTGCACAGCTGTAATAAGATGTTTTACTGCGAATGAGATCAATCATCTTACGCAGTGACCCAGACACATTCACCCATTAACTTTAATGAAAATGAGTGACTTATTTTAAAGAAATCTGACAATGCCAAAAAAATGACGAAAACAACGTCGAAGTGTCTTTAGGACAAAACAAAACCAGAGCCAAATATTCAGAGAATGTTACTGTGCATTACAAACTGACTTCATCATCAAAATGAGCACCACTTTCACATGCCATGAAAAATTATTCAATCTTATCAGTTTGCCTGTGCAGCTGCTTTTTCACGTGTCGAATATGTTTATTTGAGCAGGCGATTTGAAATCAACACTAGAAGCGTCAAATGTAATTCATGCAAGACCTTGAACGTTTCTAAATCAAAATAATTGATTTGGAAGATGAAATAGAATTCAATGCACATGATTCATTTACCAAGGATGTTTATGCATGACGCAGTTTGTACGTCAACAAGCATACACTTAACGAAGCTTTCACTTTAAAAGTTTGTGCATTAGACAAAATATGATTAACTCGATCAATGCAGACAAAAGTCCACTTACTTAAAGTACGCAAGACTAATGTTGATTATGTTATTTATGCTGAGAGGGCACATTAAAAGTAGACGTAATAGCTTCTTGGAATCATGATTCACCCTGCTGGACGTAAATCATGTGCGACAAATGATTGATAAAATGAACAACCTCACAACTCTTCCGCAGAAAGTTAGCGAATGTCACTATAGGCAGTATTCCTTAATAAAACGTTTGAAACAATAATTTTTTAGTGTTAACTGACGCAAACCTTGCTAAAACCTATATAAAATTTTTAACTACATTATGACCCCAGTAAAATCAAATGCATTTACCAGCAAGCAAAGCATTCAAATTACTGATGCAAAAAATTCATCCAAATCAGAATCTTGTGATGCATGAGGAAAAGTTTCAGCAGTTAAGAGGTATAATGGTAATGTCAATTTAGACCATAAAACGTTGGAACAAAAATTCGATATCCCATAGAACTAAAAAACATTCATCACATTCACGTTTCTAATTATTTGACACCAAATACAAGTCCTTGCCGATACATTTTGCAACGATCAACAAACCAAGTACACACCTTATCACTCTTCAACTTTTGGAAAACAGCTTAGCTAGTATCTTGAAAATATAATTGGATATGCATTGTGTAGCATAGTATCAAAACGCCACTCACATCGAGGTGAGTTGAGAAAAAATCGAAACATCGCTTGCTTTTTTGCTCGTAGCTAATAGTAACATTGACTAGGACATCAATTTGTAGTGTATAAAATGAGATTTTTTCTCAACAACGATTTTCTTTGACATATTATGTTATATAATAGAATAAAATATTTATAATCACAGGTGTGAATAAATCATCTGAGAATACATTTTATTCGGCATTAATTGCAAGAGGAAATTTCCGTCTGTGCGAATGTATTGACAACGTTTGCCGTAACTTGAGTAGAATTAAGGATTTGTGAAAATTATAAGCAATGTATAGAGAATTGCATGCACATACATAATGGTAAAACTTTTGTCTCTGTTTAAAAATCTTTTTAACTAAAATTAGTTTGTTTTTTTGTGTAATCACTCTCTTACCTGATGTTCTTCTTTCAAGAGTCTTGGCGCACAATGACAAAAACACTTTTCTTTTGACATATTAAAAACACATTTTGAATAATTATGCAAAGTAACAATAATCTTTTAAAGTGTATGTTTTCACCCCAACAGAGTTTGACAACTTTTTATTGACTTATAAAATGTATTATGCCACGAAATTTCTTTTTCTGATAAGCCAAATTATCATGTAAATGATGCAAAACATGAGAGATTAATAAGAAAGACGTTGAAAAATATCAGTAATCAATGTATAAGATATAGTTGTATAAAAATGTCATCAACACTGAAACTAATACAAACAGCCACACCTTTGTACACAAGACGAATATTGCTATTTCTTTAATATTCAATTCTTCAAAATGATTTTAATTAATCTACCATCGTTAGACATAGTAGTAATGTTAAGTAATTACAATCAGTATTTCTGACTCTCGTACCTCCGATTCTAAGGTTATTCTTGAATTGTTTCCAATGATTTTGCATACACACCACCGTCATATATGATAACTTACTCCTAATTTAAAGTTATAGTCCTTAACAGACCAACTCACACGATCGCTAACTACCCTCTAATCCATTCATCCCGAGCTAAATATTGAGGGTTTTCACAATTCTTCACCCTAGTCCTTTTAGCAATTCGTTTGTAGCTATCATATACCGTCATTTTGATCAATGGCAGTTTTTATTGAATAAGTCTTCATGAATGACTCTTCTGAATGACTCTTCAAAAATAAATTTAATGATTTTGCTCTTCGTGTGTATATCAGATAAGTCTTTTTTCCCATTTTTCAATACTACTTTCACTCAAATAAGATGATTAGAGATTTTGCAGGGAGACAATTCCAACATTATGCATATTTGTCATGGAGACAGTCAAATGTAGATTATAGCAAGATGACATAACATGTAATATTTAATTTATCATACAAAGCGTATTTTGATTTAGAGGTTTTATGAGAAGTACCTTTCACTGGCTTTGCAGGCACAAAGTCTGATCGTATGATGTCTAATCAGATTATTGTCTTATAAGTTGTTATTAACTTGCCTTTACGCAGGTGCTTAGATACTTTGATTGCATCTGTGCCCACGAACTGGTGTCCAGTGTATTATCAAAGTTCATAGTTGAGAATTGAGAATGGTTGAGATGAGATTGTTTGTTTTATTTATGAATTTTAAGACCAATTTGTGGAGAGTACGGTGTGAAATGATCTTTTCCATGACAGCATTCGCAAGAAGATTATAAAGATTAGCTGGGTTTTTTTTTTAAGGAGTAAGTACGACTTTGTTATTGTATTTTGTTTTTGTAATTATGTGATGAATTTTGCCGATGCTCTTAAGTCTTAACTCTCGAGCCTCGTGTTTATAAAACATTATTTATGTCGCTTGTTAATGTCAAAAATCTTTTCGAAAATTTTTGTTCCAGTCACATTTGCACAAGAGAAAAAGATATTTTATTTTTGAATTTAAAATTCAAATATGGCGGTAAAAATATTGCTCCAGGTGTTTTGAGTTCAACGGATATTATAACTTAACCTTGTATATATGTTTAAGTATGTATAAAAATTTTATTTCAAGAGGGTAACAGACAACAGTCAAATAGACTGATAAACTACTGTCTCTCTTATACTATATATACAAATGTATATGAAAATTCTAAAATTATACTATAGCATATATTTAAAAAATGATCATGCACTC